CTTCGTACTGCCTTCCTTCTTTCTAGTCCACCTCGTCCGTCTCAGTCTGTGCTTCCGTCTCCTCCTGAGTCGGCCCTCACTGTGTCGCTCCCTACTCCTGTCACTGACTACTACCGCACGTACCGTCCTGTTCTCTCTCGTGTTCTCGCCTCTCTTGTTACTCACCCTCGTGCCTCTGTGTCCTCTGTGTCCGCTCTTACTGCCGCAGTTACTGACTTTGCCTCTACCCGCCGCCTTGACTACGCCACCACGCTTGTGGCTGCTCCTCCTACCAGTCCTCTGGCCGTCGGGGGTGTGTCTGCCCTTGGCTGTGACGCCCTAGAGGACAGGCAGTTTGAGCTAGAGTTCCTGGCGGCCGCTTCCCCTCATCTCTGTGCCATGCTCCTCGCCCCTGAGGGTGACCCCGACGCCCTTGACATTCCGACTCCTCGCACTTACGCTGAGGCAGTGTCAGGGCCTTGGGCCTCTCAGTGGAGAGCTGCCATGGACGCAGAGATGGCCTCCTACAGATCCACAGGCACCTACGTCGATGAGGTTCCCCCCCCTGGGGCGAACGTAGTCGACGGCATGTGGATCTACAGGGTGAAGCGGCCACCGGGATCTCCCCCGGTCTTCAAGGCGCGCTACGTGGCTAGAGGTTTCAGTCAGCGCGAGGGAGTTGACTTCTTTCAGACCTTCGCACCTACCCCGAAGATGACCACTCTTCGGGTGTTACTACACGTAGCAGCACAGAGAGACTACGAGTTACACTCTCTTGACTTCTCCACTGCTTTCCTTCAGGGCAGCCTACACGAGGAGGTCTGGTTGCGTCGTCCCTCGGCCTTCACTGGCACCTTCCCTCCTGGGACCCAGTGGAGGCTGAGGCGACCTGTTTACGGTCTTCGCCAGGCCCCTCGTGAGTGGCACGACACTCTGCGTTCTACCCTCTCTGACCTTGGGTTCCAGCCGTCTTCTGCCGACCCGTCGTTGTTCGTTCGTCGTGGCTCCACACCGTTCTTTGTTCTGGTCTACGTCGACGACCTCGTTTTCGCCACTTCGGACAGGGTTGCTTTGGCAGACGTGAAGTCCGAACTGCAGAAGAGACACACGTGCACTGATCTTGGTGAGCTGCGCCACTACCTTGGCCTGCAGATCACCAGGGACAGAGCCGCTCGCACCATTACACTCTCACAGTCACACATGGTGCAACAGGTCCTTCAGCGGTTCGGGCTTCAGCACTCCACCGTACAGCGCACACCTCTAGCTGTTGACCACAGACTCACTGGTCCCTTTCCTGACGAGCCGTTTGAGCCTAGTGGTCCCTACGCAGAGCTTGTGGGTTGCCTCATGTACCTGATGACTTGTACTCGCCCGGACCTCGCCTTCCCTCTCAGCATCCTTGCGCGCTTTGTTGCGCCAGGGAGACACCGTCCTGTTCACTGGACGGCAGCTGTGAGGGTGGCGAAGTACCTAGCGACTACATCAGGCGTGGGGCTAGTTCTTGGAGGGCAGCAGTCTGTCGTACTCACTGGTCACTGTGACTCCTCTTACGCTGACGACGCTGAGACTCACAGGTCTACTCAGGGGTACTGTTTCAGTCTGGGTTCTGGAGCTGTTTCCTGGCGTTCCACGCGCTCCTCTTCTGTCTCGACCTCTACAGCTGAGGCTGAGATTTACGCTGGTGCCATGGCGGCACAGGAGTTGCGTTGGTTGACCTTCTTGCTCGCCGACCTTGGTGAGCGGCCGAGCTCTGCACCGACCTTGTTTACTGACAACAAGGCGTCGATCCTCCTCTGTCGTGAGCCGCGACTGGAGAGCAGAGTGAAGCACATTCACGTCAGGTACTTTCTTCTGCGAGAGTTGCAGAGGCGTGGACAGGCTCGCTTCGAGTTTGTAGAGTCCGAGGCCAACACTGCAGACATCTTCACCAAGGCGCTTCCGCCTTGTGACCACCAGAGATGTTGTGTGCAGTTAGGCCTTGTTGACACAGGTTCTAGTCATGCGTAGACTTGAGTTTATTGCCTGCTTCGTCTGTACACTTACTATATATACTTGTGATCTCTTGGACTGGCCTTGTGGCCACTGTTGCTTGTGCTCAGAGTGTGTGGTGACGTTGTGATCCACCCTGAGCTTTGTTTTCTTTTGGACTGGTCTTGTGACCGTACTCTTTTTTGTTTTTGCTAGACACCCCTCACTTAGGCTATGGGGGTGTGTCAAATGTTGTAGCCTGTAGTGAGGTTTGTCTTAGGGGGTACAGAAGTTAGGGTTTGTCATATGTACCCCAACCAACATCAATGCAACATCCATTCCTCATTCTGACAAAGGAATACGAAGGGATATGATATGAATGATAACTGTCTTACTGTTGGCTGTTGCGGTTCGATACAGTGCGACTCGGGCAACTGCTCAATATCGAGTCAGTTGTGTGTCCTTGCTGTCGCGCTGCCTTTGTCAGGTCAAAGGTCGCTGACCTTTGACTTTCACGTAACCTCCAGCGGTTACTTCAACCTCCGAGGGTTGACTCGCTGGTGCCTCGATATGATCTGCTTCGCTTGTGCCTTGGTGTTTCGACACGATAGAAGCGTTTTTAGGATCGATTGTTTCCAACAGTTACCATGTTTGGTCCCAATCTACCGTAAGCTCAGTCCATCATTCGGCAATCTGTGCTGTATCTTGTTTGTGCATTTCTATTGTACCGTAGTACCGTACCATATCACGTTTGTCCCTCCATCCACTCCATTGATTATAACAGCTCACACCCGTCCGTCGTGCTTCCATCCATAATCCATTCTCCCGTGTACCGACCGTACCGTAGATGCGTCTGCTGGTGTGTGCTTTTGGGTTTCCAGCGTGTTTTTGAGCCACTCGAAACTCACCCTAGTCAACTCAAGTGTGGGCCGTGTTCAAGGCCCAGTAAGTTTGCAGCTTACGGTAGTATTGATGTTTGAGGCGCCTCAAAACAAGGCCCAGTAAGTTTGCAGCTTGGTATTGCAAAGATGCTTGAGTTCCCCACAGCAGCTGCATTGCATTGCACTCCCTTGAGCTGGTGCACACAGGTTAGAAGCTGACAGCTGCACTCAGTGCACTGCACCACTTACACTTTTGAGTCGACTCAAAAGTCTGCACTGCATTGCATTGCACTCCCTTGAGCTGGTGCACACATGTTTGAAGCTGACAGCTGCACTCAGTGCACTGCACCACTTACACTTTTGAGTCGACTCAAAAGTCTGCACTGCATTGCATTGCACTCTCTTGAGCTGGTGCACACATGTTAGAAGCTGTCAGCTGCACTGCACCACTGATGAAGCGGGCAGTTTCGTTTTATTCACTTCCAGGATTCGTCCATAGGTTTCCTATGCTGCTGAAAGGGTAATTGCATGGTTTACAGCCGCACTGCGCAGCTGCTCAGAAACATGCCTGGAAGCTGACTACAAAGCACTTTCGTTATAATCACTGCCATGATTCATCCACACATTTCTTATGCAGCTGGAATGCTGGGGTGACCCACTCCCCACAGCTGCACTGTGCTCCCGACCAGTTGAAATAGCCAAGGCGAGTAGAGCACTGGGCGCATGACAGCTTGCCTTCTACCTGCCCGCTTTGCACTGCATGTGTTCAGGGACACGCCACACAGAGGAAGGGAGTGAGGGATTAGCTGCTGGTGTGGTGGTGGTACGGTATGAGACCCTCTCCCCACTCCCCACGGCTGCACTGCATTCCCGACCAGTTGAAAGTAGCCAAGCGGAGTAGAGCACTGGGCGCATGACAGCTTGCCTTCGATCTGCCCGCTTTGCACTACATGGAAGGAGGGAACAGCTGAGTTGACAATGCATCAACCTCCCAAAATGACCCAGTTCCCCCAGTTGCGCTGAGCTCAAGACCTGACCACTTACAGCAGCCAAGACTGCGCGGAAAACAGAGATTGAAAAAGGTGTGAAAGGAAAGTAGAAGAGCTAAAACTGGTGCATCAATTGTATAGAGGGTATTTTTGAGACGCCTCAAAAATACCCTCTATACACGTGCCTTCAAATCAGAGATTGAAAAAGGTGTGAAAGGAAAGCAGAAGAGCTAAAACTGGTGCATCAATTGTATAGAGGGTATTTTTGAGACGTCTCAAAAATACCCTCTATACATGTGCCCTCAAAACAGAGATTGAAAAAGGTGTGAAAGGAAAGTGGAAGAGCTAATGCTGGTGCATCAGTCTCGTTCACCTATACCCACTGGTGCTCAACCCACCTCACCACTTCCCACCCATGCTCACCGTCGCCCATCCATTTGAGTGGCTCCACAAACACAGACGTGCATCCCCTCTCCGCCCCACTCCTCCAATCCTTGCCCTTCCCACGAAACCTGACACCTCCGCCCCCTTCCCCACCAGTCCCAGCAGCAGCAGCACCGTCACCACCCCCAGCAGCAGCACCGCCAGCAGCAGGGTCAGTGGCGCTGGCAGGTGGTTTGGGGGCATGAGGGAGCACATTGGCTGCTGCTGCCACCACCTGCCGGCACTTTCGGCAGCGATACACCTCTGGAGCCCTTGCTGCTTCCTTCGATGCCCCTGCTGCTCCTGCTGCCCCGGCTGCTCCTGCTGCCCCTGCTGCTCCCGCTCCTCCTGCTGCCCCTGCTGCTCCCGCTCCTCCTGCTGCCCCTGCTCCTCCTTCTGCCCCTGCTGCTGCTGCGCCCCCTGCTGCTCCTGCTCCTGCTGTTCCTACCTCCCCCTCTTGCCCCACTCCAGCCCGTAACTGAGCATCCCCGCTAATAGCATCCCCGTTACTAGCAGCTCCGTTGCCAGCCTCGAACGGCACGCCCTGGTGCAGCGAGCCAGTGATTCGACGAGCCATGAGGCGCAGCTTGAAGCGAGAGTAGTCGGAGTGATGGGGGTTGACAGCCCACCCCATGCTGTGGAAAATCCGTAACTGAGGCGAGAAGGGGGGGCAGTTGGAGACGGAGAGAATATGAAAGAGTGAGAAGGGGCACATCAAGGAACATGAGGAAGCAGTCAGAGAAGGGGCGCGATGACAGTCCTACGGACATGGCCCAATGGGCTCGCCATGGTGCAGGGAGCCGGTGATTCGGCGAGCCATGAGGCGCAGCTTGAAGCGCGAATAGTCCGGGTGGTGGGGGTCCACAACCCATCCCATGCTGTGGAATATGCGTAGCTGAGGCAACAGGGCGTCTGTTCAGAGAAGCAAGGAAAGGGTAACACAGAGCTTGAAGCGCGAGTAGTCAGAGTGGTGGGGGACCACAGTCCATCCCATGCTGTGGAATACACATAGCTGAGGCGAGAAGGGAGGAAGCAGATTACGAGTAAAACAAGGTAATATTTTCGTCGACTCAGAAGCCAACTCTCATATTGGTGTTACTTTTGGAATTCTCAAGAGTGGCAGGCAGGCAGGCAGGCAGTCAAAGAACTGGAGATCGTTGTTTCCCGCTGCCGCTCATTATTTGCCACTCAAAACATTTGATGCAAGGACAGCGTTGTTCTGGGTGCTAGAGTCGTCTCAGAAATAGCTTCATCTGATGCACGTGATAAGAGTGAAGTTTTGAAACGTGTCAAAACTTCACTCTTATCAGGGTGCTAGAGTCGTCTCCAGAATAGTTTTACCTGATGCAGGAAGCCGTCGTTGGGGCATGCAAGTGGGTGCTTGGACTGCAGCAGACGGAGAGCGTCTGAGAAGGGGTGTGATGGGATGGGATGGGTGGGTGGGGTGCGATGGGTGGATGGGATGGGTGGGTGGGATCGGATGGGTGTGATGGGATGGGCGATTGGGATGGGTGGATGGGTATGCGGGGGATGGGTATATGGCATGGGTATATAGGGGATGGGTAGATGGAATGGGTATATGGGGGATGGGTATATGGGATGGGTATATCACATGGTTATATGAGGGATGGGTATATGGGATGGGCATATGGAATGGATGGATAAATTAGGCGTGCGAGAACGGAGCTATCAGGAAGGGGACGTGAATCCGTCTGAAATCCGGTAATGGTACCACACCACATGTTGTTGAACCACCTGAAACATCTATGAATAACTATAGCCGCGAGTGTAGATCCATAGCTTACCCTCAGCCGTCGATCTGTGCAGTTTCATAAGATATGCAGTAACCACTGCTGCGCTGAAGGAGGGGGAGATGGGGGAGGGCGGAGAGGGAGTGGGTGTGGGGGGGTGGGGGTTGAGGGGGAAAGGTTGAGGAGGGGATGCAGCAATCAGGCTTCGAAAAGACGTGCTCGGATGTAGCCGACAAACGACCAGTCAACCAGGAGCAACTCCAAGACGGTGTGTAATTAAGTACTGGGAAGAGTGTGCGCCACGCACCTTCGCGACACGCCAGCGTGGCAGTGCACGAGCACCTTCTCCCCGCAATTCACGCTCTCCTCCACGAACGCCAGGCAGCTCGGCAGCACCGCCAGCAGATCTGCGTCGTCCATGTCGAGAAGATCTACGGTCAGCCGTTGCCTGCCGCGTGCGTCACAGCCACGCGTCACACTGTCACATTCTAACCCACCAGCGGTTGCGCTTGTGTCAGGGGGAATTTCGGCGGAATTCGCGGTAGATTTAGGATCGGAAGGAGGAGGTGCGACAGTAACGAAAGAAGAGCGAGCCATTGGGCAAAGAGAGAGAAGGCGCGTGACATGCGCTCGTTCGAGCATCCGTGCTGACGTGGCATCGGCGAGGTTGCCGATGAACACACCGTCACAGACCTCCCTCATCGCGACACCGTGCGACGCTGTACGACGCCGTGCGACGGGTACGACGTATGCGACGCGTGAACAGCACAAGATCCCAGGTACAAAACTAATGAAGAAATCAAGACTACGCGGAGAAAGCCGTAAGGTGAAGCACTCGGGCCTCTGGCAGAAAGCCACCCACCCAAGAACAAAGGCTGGAGGTAGCAGGAGGTATGGGTTTGGGGGAATGACATTCCCAAGGTGAGTGAGACGGGGCGACCAAACCCAGACCCACCGCACCGCACGATCACGCTCGCTAAGAACATCATCTCGTTTCAGACCATTATCAGAGTATATTGACATGTACTTTGATAAAATTATAGTGCCTCATTTGTACAGCTTATGTAGCATAAACCACGTTATCTGCAAGTATACAAAACGTACTAGCACATCAGGCTGTACCATCAGCAAAATGGAAATAGATTTGGCCCTTACGCGTTGGTCAATGCGACCCTCGGTTGTGCATTCCATCCCTGTCTTCTGCTGGAGCCGTCTTCACCACCATCTACATTCTTCCACTCCCATTCTCCATCCTCACTTCCCGCCTCCATCTCCTCCGACTCCTCAACCTCACCCGGATGTTCACAACACGCAGTAAGATCATTCGCCTCGTCTGCCTCTTCAGCCCCTTCGGCCTCATCCATCTCGTCTGTCTCTTCTCCCTCCACTGCATGGTCTGCCTTGTGAGCCTTGAAAGCTTCGTCTGCCACGTTTAACCCGTCTGACTCATCAAACCTGTGAGAGCCAGCTGAGTCATCAGAGCCATCATCATCACTCTCTATGCCCCTCCTGGTGTCACGATTCCTCTCTCTCCACTCCTCCGCATGCCCCGACTCGCTTTCACTCTCACTCCCATGCACACTCCATTCTTGGTCCTTCTCTCCTCCTGCTGCTCCACCCCTGCTCCCCCTCTTCCTTCTCTCCTCCTCCCCACTGCTCTCACCATCAGAAGACTCGTTATAGTCTGACCTCATACCACGTGAATCTCTGTGCGCCAAATACCTACGACCGATACTGTAGCTCCGATATGCATCATGATCGTACTCACCACTTCTGTCGACCATATCCTCTCCACTCCACTCCTCATGCTGCCAAATCTTCCTGCCCTCACCCCTCCTCCCTGTGTCGCTCGCATTGCAGAACAAATCCCTCCCTCGTCCTTCATACTCACACTCCCTCTCTCCACTCCGCCTCCACCGGCCATCTCTGTCACCTTCTCGCATGGTCTCTCGGGCCCGGTCATACTCCCTCCTCCCATGCCTTTCATACCTTGCCTCCCTATCCTTTTCATTGTTGTAATTCCCCTCTCTCCTCCTCACGTTTCCACTCCTGCTGGAAAACTCCTCTTTACCAGAACGCTCATAACCTTTATCATTTGAAAATTCATGCCTCCTCCTATGTCTTTCCCCTAAACTCTCATCATCAGAGAATTCCCTCCTTTCATTATCCCGCACCCCTCTCCTTTCCTCCCCTCCCTCCCACTCCTCGCTCCTCCTCCACTCGCCATGTCCCCTGTGCCTTTCTCCACGGTACTTTCTCCACTCCCTGCCCTTCCCTTCACACTCGTGCTCTCCAATTACCCTTTTCCCCTGCTCTCCTGATTTATCATATCTGACAAAATCTGAATCGTCTCTCACCCTGCCACGCCTCCCTCCCTTCCTCTCATTCGCCCAAATCTCTTCGTCAGGCCCACCCTTCCTCCGCGCTTCCGACTTCCTACCCCCGTTCCCCGCGCCCCTCTCGCCCTCCCCCTTCAACCTACTTCCCCCATCCCTCTCGAGTATCCTTTCCGCCTGTCTCTCCGCTGGTCTCTCCCCGAACCCCCCCGCAACCAACCCGAATCTCTCTAGCATCATCAGCCTACCAGGGGTAAGCGGACCAAAATCCCCCGTAGGAGAAAACCCACCGCGTAACCTGCAGCCACGCTCCCCACGCGCCCCCCCTTCCGCCGCTTCCCCCTCTTCCCCTTCGCCTTTCTCCCGCACAACCGCAAGCCCTCCCAGCCTTGCCCTGCAGGTCTGCGCAACCCTTATTTCTTTTTCCCCCGCGCAATCTGGAATTTCGACCAATAGCGGATGCAGCCCGCGCCTCTGCCGAACCACGTGCTTCAGATCTCGGTTTAGGTCATTGCCCGAACCAATGGATATGTTGGCACGGCCCGAACCTGGTGGTGATTTTTTTGTTAGATCCGCAACCAGAAGCTTCGCCGTTGATGCTGTTGCTTTGGCGGAACGTTTCACTTGAAAATCTGTTTCCGCATGACCTGCGGAAGCAGATGCGCGGAGAACCCTCCCCCCCGCCGTCCCGCCAGTTCCGCCAGCTGCTGACACAGCCAGAGCAGCTACAGTGTTCCGCGAACCCACCCTGTCATTTGAACTAGCGCTGCGCCTTACTGATTTACTCTGATTGCTTGAGCGCGTTACGAGCCGGTCGTCGTTCACTCTAACGGAAACTACGCCGACGTTTGTTACACTCGGCCGGGCTGAGAACAAATTGCCTCCTCGCCCGCAAGCCGCCGCCTGCGCGACTGGCGAAACCATTCCGCCAGTGTTAACAGCTCCGCCAAAGCTCTTCGACGCTCCCAGCTGCGGCGGCGTACTCACCCTGGCTCTCCCCTTATTTCGAGGCGACTTAATTACACCCGCGGTTCTACCACCCTGGCTGCAGCTACTGCTGGGCCTCGATCCCCGGCCCCCGCCACTCCCGCCACCAGCGTCAACTCGCGCAACTGCCGCCGCCGCTGCCGGCGTCATTGTCGTGTTGTGACGAACGCTGACGCCGACGCGTACAGGCGAACGATCGTTGCATACCCGGGTCCCACTGGTTCCGCCATTCCCGCTGGAGCTTTTCAAACGGCGTTCTCCGCTTTCGGCGGCGCCGATTGCGGAGGGGCTCTTAGGAAAGCTTGCTTTGTTCTTGAACACTATCGCCGGGCTCGTGTAGCTCTTCGGAATCGGGCCGTATGCCGTAGGAGCAGGCGCGCAGGCAGCGGCGGACCGCCCGCGTGACGTCGCAGCGAGCGGTGGGGGGTCTGGCGCGTGGCGGCCACAGGCCGCAGTAGGGCTCTTCTGGGGAACCGATTTCGGGTTCTTCGGGCTTCTCGACGGCTTGGTGGCCTTAGGCGAGGGACCCGGCGACGTAGCGGGCTGGTTACCAGGTAACGAAGGATCGAGCTGTTCAGCGAAGTCCTGAGATGGTTCTGGCCGAGAGCGGACCTTAGACTTGGGATTAAGCGACGAGAGAAGAGAGGAGATGGAGCGCATGAGACGGTTTCCCTTAAAGGGGCTCGTCTGCTCCTCGCTATAGTCACACTCGTAAGAGCGGGTACATGACAGAACACTGGTATTCTCGGCGACCGTGCTGGGGGATGCGCATGAAAGTTCCCCGCTTTTGGAAGTCGGAGGGGATTGAGGTGGATCGAGGATTTCGCCCCGGCTTGCACTGGTTCGCACCGCGCTATTGTTCCGCGTCGCCTGCAGAGGCCGTGGGCTGCGCGTCGAATTTTTGCTCGACGTACCCTTCTTCGCGTCTGCGGGGCCGGTTGGGGTTGGGGTTGGCGGGGCGGAAAGTTGCGCCGAAGCGAGAAGTTGGCGGAGATGCGGCGGAGCGAGATGGCCGTTCGCTGCGGATTCAGTGTCGCCGGCAAAGACCTCGACGGAGGAGCACACGCCGACGGCGGGCGACAGCGTCGCAAGCAGGAAACGTTCGCTCGACGTCGCACGGAGTCGCTGGAGAGTGAGGCGAACGCGATGGCGACTGAGCGGGCCAGAGCATTCGGGCCGACGAAGCCAAAATCTGGTCGCACCGAGGGGGGAGGTGATAGAAAGGCGACATGAGATGTTAGACCGTTCCGTCATAGAAACGAATGGTGTTTCGGATCAGAGGTTCGCAAGAAATAGGCGCTGCGACGAGATTGCAAAGGATGCGGAGAGGGCGACTCACTCGATAGCGGACCACAGCGCGCCGAGCGACAGAGACCCCACAGCTTTCGTCCAATCAGCTGCTTCCATTCCTTCCGCCAGCTCGTAAACGCTTGCGCCGTCCGACAGCATCTCCGCGGAGCACCCGAGCGCGTCGCCAGTGCCCTGGCTGAAGCAGCGAATCACAGCCCGCCATTTGTCCACGATCAGCACGGGTTCCGCGGCGGTTTTTACGGCGGAAGCGGCGTTAGGAGGAAGAGGCACGTCACAAGGGGAAGAGGCGGCGGAAGGGGTAAGGGTCGCGGCGGGGAGTGAGAGAGGCTGGACCTTGAGAGCTTTAAACTGGGTTTTGTAATGCGCCATGGCGTGTGGCTTGGATCGTGCTATTGCATGCGCGTGAGTGCAGTTGGCGTGGGCGCGCGTGCTGCTGAAGCTACGGTCATGGCAGGCGACGGTCACGAGAAAATGGCGTTAGTGACGGTCACGAGAAAATGGCATTAGTGCAGTAGAAAACTTCCTCAATCTAGCGCTATTGCAAAACTCTGAAAAGCATGATGCGTCATGTTGTAGAGTGGAAGTGAGAACGTGACGGGATGTGTTGCGTTGGCATGACAAGCCAACGCATGGCGTGGCGATGTGTTTTCTCCATTCGGATTCCCATTTCTCTTCCACCCAAACCATTCCCCTCCCCGTAACAGTCGGTTGCCACTTCCAAGTTCCAACTGACCAAACCGAACAGGAGGAAGGGAAGGGAAGGGCCGCGCGAGATTTTCCTTTCCACGCAATGCGATCACGTCCGAAAAGTGGAGTCTGTCAGCCGACAGCAAAGCAATTTAATTAACACCTGCCCAGTTAGGAGATGCCCTGAAAACAATACTCACATCGGAGATCATGGAGGGTTTGATTTGAAGGCCAAAAGGGGATTGGACCTTGGCGGTGCCTGGACGGAACTTAGAGGGTTCCGTAGCTGGCAGGTTTTCCAGACGTGGGACTTGTACAGCTCTGTGGAGAAAGTGAGACTTAGAAAACAAAAACCCGCGAAACAGGCCCGGGTTGCCAGCAATGTTTCTGAAATTGGACCGCAGAAAATACACTTGGTGGAAAGCGGAAGCAACCAATTGGCGTGTGGGAGTGACATGGACCTTTTTTGGGTTGCGAAGCAACCCTTTACGATCGATTTTGCCAAATTTTATTTTCATGTTTATATTTTTTAAAAAAATCATGAAAATAAATTTTGTCAACTACAGTACTACCCTTCCCAAACTGTATGCATGTTGAGCAGTTTTGAATACGATACTGTTCATAGTGCATTATTCCATATGAATATTTTGCAATTGTTTAGTGGAGATTTGCTGTACTGTTTGCATTATATGTTACTGTTAGATGATGTTGTGTAATGATGAAGAGGTGCATGCGTAATGCATAAATGATGCTATACAATGCATAATGCATAGAATGATGTATATAATGCATGTGATATGTGATGAATGATGCACATGCACATGATAAAATGCGTGACAGTTAACAACCCAAAAACTAAGCTATCGCCATCCCCTGCCTAGCATGGGGGGGAGGTCAATAGCAAAATCTTTGAATAATCAACTAGCACATGAAAAAATACAATCTGTTAACTCTAAAAAAGAGGTTCACTCCATCAAATCCAGTTCGAAGTGGCAAACACACGAGTCACTGAGTGCGCCAATGAACCAATTAGAAATGATAGAAATGAACCCCCTTTTTAAAATTGACAGACATGCATTGATATTGCAATGACAGATGAGATGAATGCACTCACACGAACAAACACATTCACACAATAAAAAACACGAGCTCCGGCAAACCCAGCCAAAAAACACGAGATACACGCGAACTACATAACAAGTAAATCAATGTTAAAAGGACAATACGATAAATCCTAGTGACCAATACACATTTTCTGGATTGAAATCGCGTTCCTGACCAGAAAGGCCCCTGACAAACGGGTTTAGGAAGTGGAAAGGAGGAACGGAAATGAATAGCCGGTACAACAAACAAAACAGAAAAAAGGCATAAGGTGTGATGAAATGAAGAGAAACAGGAATAACGAAGAAACAAATGAATCAATACAAGGGCTAAGAAAAACGCCGTGAGCATTGAATGGTTAGACTTGACAAAGAGCATGGAGAAGAATCTGACGAGGCATAAAACGAAAATAAGGAACGGGAATAGAGGAACAAAATACCGAGACAGTAAACGAAAGAAGAGAATATAACAAATACAGAGAGCGAGAACAACGAAGAGCGAGAGCGAGAGCAGGAGCGAGAGAGGACTAGAGAGAGGGGACGAGAGAGAGGGGACGAGAGAGAGGACGAGAGAGAGAGAGAGAGAGAGAGAGAGAGAGAGAGAGAGAGAGAGAGAGAGAGAGAGAGAGAGAGAGAGAGAGAGAGAGAGAGAGAATGAGAGAGAGGGAGAGAACGAGAGAGAAAACGAGAACGAGAGAGAGAGAACGAGAGAACGAGGACGAGAGAGAGAGAACGAGAGAGAACGAGCGAGAACGAACGAGAGATAGAGAGAGTGTTCAATAAATTACGATTTCTACGATTTCGAAAAAAAACATGTGTAAAAACAAGATCTAAGCCGACCTAGTTTAGATCTAAGCCGTCCTGTGTTAGAATTAAGTCGACCTAACAAGTATCGAACGCGTTTAAGTTGCAAGTTAGGAGCTTACCTAGCGGAAGTCCCGTAGCCCGTCAGCAGAACGAGAGGAAGTAGGAAAGGGAGGGCTAACTAAGAATAGGAAGTAAATGACGACAATAAGAGCTTACATCTTACCATGAGCTAACAACTCTAAATGACATCTTAAACTTTCTGACCTTGGAGTGGTAGGTGGAGCGTAAGTAGCGTGAGGCAAAAGAACAAGCTCCACTGGCGAGAAGAAAAGAGAAAGAGAAAACGAATACCTAGAACCTAGAACATAGGCTTAATCAAACTATTTTTTTAAAACGCGGCCAACACAAGAGTAAACAACTATGGTACGAGATTAACGCATGCTAGTCTCGCTAGAAATCAGGTAACTTAATTCTACTTGAAACGGTAAGGTAGAGTTGTTCTCACCTTAGTAGGAACGGGTAGGTGGGGCGTGAGTAGCGGGGAGCTAAACCAGCGAGCGGAAGGGAGGGAGAATGAAAGGAAGAGCAAACCTAACAAAGTGTCAGATTCGTCGTTATGTTAGCTCGTTTTTAAGTTCATGTTGCTTTTTTGTGCAGTAGCGCTAGTGCAGTCGGTAGGTTAAAGGCGTTGGGTAAGAAGGAGGTAGGTTCGAATCCTGCTGAAGCTGCTTTTTCGAGTCTTGCTATATATGTCAATTACCACAGGTTTTTATTAAAGTATTTGCACTTGTAGAAAATTGTGTACATGTCGTTATGTAAAATGTAAAAATTTGTGTACATATCGTTATGTAAAATGCTTCGCAACCCTAAGACGATTTCGTCGCCTCTTGTTTTTTTTTTTTTTTTTTTTTTTTTCACGACAGACGAAGCGATGCGGAGGAACCCCGGTTGCAACAATGGCGTTGCCTGGCTGGTGTGCTACGTGGACGCTGGCGAGTGAACAGTGATTAGTCAATTGGACCCACGGAAATGGGACGAAAAAATGCTGCACTGACGAATGCCTTCGTGGAAGTCAGCAAATATCGGTGTGGTCTGATTGAAAATGGATTCTCGATTTGGGATAGATTCGGTATAGCCAAACGGGTAATTTCTATATACCATTCCATAACTATGAATTGGACTCACTAGTATTTTCAGTAGCTCTTCCTCACTGCCCCTGAGCAGACGCACAATGCTCTTCGTGTTCTTTACATTCCGAGGTTGGTTTCAGAGGGATACAAGTGGGTTCCGTGATGTTACCGAGGGATGTCTCAATCCATGATCCCGTACATAGCATTCCCACAATCCAGGTAATCTGAGACCAGAAACGTTGGGCCTGAGACCAGCATAGAATGCTCGCAAGCAGCGACCATGAGGCGACCATTGGTGTTAAAGAGTCAGTCAATACTGCGTATCCACTCGCAGCTGTCATTCGAAAACCAATCATCGCCATTTCTTAGGAATCTTTTAGTCCGAGCTCTTTCTGCTTCCGCTAGTTCCGCTTCCGCAACACCTGTGAACGAATCCACCTGCGCGGAAGGATCGGCACTTGCGGAAGGATCACCCCGCGCGGAAGGATCACCGCAGGCGGAAGCACCAGCTCGCGCGGAAGGATCACCGTGCGCGGAAGGCGCAGCATGGAACTGGATATCGCGGCCAGCCGCGCGGGAGGTGGTGCGAAGAGCAGTGGCGGGGGGCGGGGGAGTGGCGGAGGGGGAGATCGGGTGGGGGAAGCTGCTGGGGGGGCCCGCGCTGGAGGTGGGCGTGCGGGTATCCGGGAAGGGGCTTCCGCGAAGGATCGTGGTGGTGCACGGGCCGAGAGGCGTGGGGAAGCGAAGCCTGCTGGAAGGTGGGTTTGCGGGAAGTCATTGCTCTCACAAGTCAGCGGTATCAGCTAATTCAGATCATTATAAAGTCCAGTGATCAGAGGATCGTAGTGGTGGTGCACGGGCCGAGAGGCGTGGGGAAGATTTGCCTGCTGGAAGGTGGGTTGGCATAGAAACAGCGATTGTATGATTCAAATGATCCAGTTGATTGAGACGATTCTGAAGGTTTAGGTGTATCAGGCAGTCAGTAGGTGTTTCAGGCGATCGTGGTGGTGCACGGTCCGAGAGGCGTGGCGTGGGGAATAGAAGCCTGCTGGAAGGTGGGTTTGCGGGAAGTCATTGCTCTCGCAAGTCAGCGGTATCAGCTGATTCAGATCATTTGGATTCAGATGGATCAGAGCATCGTGGTGGTTCACGGGCCGAGAGGCGTGGCGTGGGGAATAGAAGCCTGCTGGCTGGAAGGTGGGTTGGCATAGAAACAGGTCATTATATGATTCCAACGATTCACCTGATTCGGAAAGTTCAGCTACCATTTCTGCTACCAGTCTATTATTCGTCATCCTCTACCGTTCTAATTAATCTGTACAATTAATATCTCATTCGGTTATTGTAACCATTCCAGCCAGTTAATCCCTTCACGTTTTGCTTGCTCCATGCAGATTTGGTGAACGAATGGGTCAAGAGCGGTGCTCCAGTAGCATACGTTGACCTAGAAAGGCATCTCATCCCTCCCTCGCAACCTCCCTCCTCACTGCACTCCACACCACTGCACCACACGTCACCGAACCTCCTCGCCTTAAGCCAAACGCCTCAACCACCCTCCCACCAAACCTCCCACCAAACCTCACACGAAGCCTCATCGCCTCCTAGTGCTCAAGTTCGGGAAATTTCGTGGCTTCCTTCCTGGATGCTTCCTCCTGCCACCTTACCCACACCCACACATCCCTCTTCTATCACACCTCTCAATACAGCCCCAAACCTCAGTACAGCCCCACCCCTCGATACAGTCACACCCCCTCCTCAACCGCAGCTATCTTCTCTTCGCCTGGACATCGAGTCAGCTCTAGAAACCCTCGTGCTGTGTGCTATTAGAGAGAGGCGCCTACAGTCACACGACCTGCTGCAGGCTTTGCAGCGGCGTGTGCATGTGGTAACCGCACTAGAGACGCTTCTTTCAGGGGGGATTGGGGGATCTGGGGGGAGGAATGGGGAGGAAAGGGGGAGGTGTGAGGGAAGGCAGGTGGAGGAGCTTTGGGAGGAGTCGTTGCAATTGGTGCAGGGGAGGTTGCAGGGGCAACAGGCGCAGGAGGAACAGCAGCTGGCGCAGGAGAAGCAGCAGCAGGCGCATTTACAATCTGTGTCTGGAGCGTGTGATATTGCGGGACAGGGCTATAACGAAGATCACCTGTTACTAAAGGCGTGGGCACAGGAATTGGTTGAAAATACACAAAGAGAATCAAGAGGAGAGTCAAATCAACAGAGTGAAGACAGAGCTTCTCTTTCCGAACCTGCCGCATCAACGATTGTCAGCATGTGCCTCGCCAAGCAGCTGCTCCGGATACAGGAGGTTCGGCGGTGGAGGTCGGGGCCGAACCTGGGTGGCAGCCTCGGGCAGGGGATGTCCGGGCCGGGCCTGGAAGGCAGGTTCGGGCGCAGGAGAGGGGATGCCGAGGCGGCTGTCGCCTGGAGTGGGCTGCTCATTGACTTGCTTGTTGTGGCGGGAGGCACGAGAAAGAGCAGCAAACTTCGATGGCGGCATAAACCCTTTCAGGTGAGAGGAACCCTTTCAGGTGAGAGGAACCCTTTCAGGTGAGAGGAACCCTTTCAGGTGAGAGGAACCCTTTCAGGTGAGAGGAACCCTTTCAGGTGAGAGGAACCCTTTCAGGTGAGAGGAACCCTTTCAGGTGAGAGGAACCCTTTCAGGTGAGAGGAACCCTTTCAGGTGAGAGGAACCCTTTCAGGTGAGAGGAACCCTTTCAGGTGAGAGGAACCCCCATTCTCATGTTTTAGGTGCCTCAGTTGCGAGGGTGCCTCAGTTGCTTGTTAAGCCTATTCATCCATCGTTCACTATTGTGCCTCGAGTTGCACTTGTTGTGAGTTGGCCGTGCCATGAGTTATGCATGTGCCATGTACTACTGATGTGCACAGTGTGCATGATTTTCTGGTGTGCTGATGTGCATGGTGTGCTGCTGTGCTGAGCTGATGTGCTCTACCCAACTTTCTCCCCTCACAGCCATTTCTGGCAATCAACGGATTCCAAGTGCTGCGCCATGCGCCATCGAGCCATACAATATCCACAACATCATCAGCACCACCACCACCATCACCAGCATCACCATCACCACCACCACCATCACCATCAGCCGCACCAGCAGCAGCAGCAGCAGCAAGCCTGTGTGAGGGGGCGGATTTCCACGATGCGTTGCTGCTGCGCCTGCTGGAGGCCACGGCGAGAGGGAGAGACGCGGCTCCCAGGGTGCTGCTCTGCTCCTCCGACAGGTGCGTTGGAAGGGACTTGGCATGGTGCAGTGCACGAGAGGTAGATAGAGGGTACGTATGCACAGATGGGTGGATTCTCTGACCATGCCTTGCTGCTGCGTCTCCTTGAGGCCACAGCCAGAGGGAGAGACGCGGCTCCCAGGGTGCTTCTCTGCTCCTCCGACAGGTGCGTTCAAGAACGCAGAGGAGGGATGCGCTCTTGTGCACTCAGATCGACTACAATGCAGGGATTTTTTGAGAATTTTAAAAGAATCCCAGATGGACTCCAATGCACTGATTGTTGGCACTTGAAAGATCTCAAAGTGAAAGAACCCCAGTGCGCTAATTTCTCTGTTCTGTGGAGATTTTGATCGTTTAAGGCCTCTTCGTTCTTCCAGCACAGGAGATCTTACTGGTGCATAAGAGCATGCTTGAAAAGGGTACAGGCTTCATCTTGGTCTTAGCGCTGTTTCCGTTTTTCATTCTTTTCAACACCTATAACATCAGTACAGTGACTAACTGTGTATTTTCCTTCCCAACCTTAACCTTGCTGTCTGACCCTCTTCTGTCTGTTCCCCCGCTGCCCTTGTGTGTGCGGCACAGCTATTACTCTGATCAGCTGTCTGCTGATTTTGGCACGCAGGCTCTTTTCCACCCACACGAGGTGAGTGTGCTTGCGTGCGTGTTTTTCTGGCATTGCCGCTCGCTTCCCCACACTCCCTACTCTCCCTTCTTTCCCTGCTCTTGCTGCTGCTCCTCTTCCCGCCCCTCCTGCCGCTCATCCTTCCTGCTCCCGCTGCTGCTTTCCGCCCTGCAGCTCTGCTTTATCTAAACCGTTGATCCAGATTTTTCCACCCCCAAAGCCCCATCGTCCCCAACTCTCCATGCATTTTGACGTTTCTACATACTCTTCCCACCCTCTTCCCCCAAACCTCCCATGCCTTGATGGACACAGCTCTTTGGTTGGCTTCCGGAGGAAGCTTCCGTGCACCTGGTTCCGTCCACCTTCACCCCACTCCAGGTAGGTGGTCGGCACGGCACGGCACTCCCCTTCCAACTCGTATGAAGAAGTGTTTTGGGACGTCTCAAAACACTTCTTCATACACCTGGTTCCGTCCACCTTCACCCCACTTCAGGTAGGTGGTTGTTGCTGCCATTTTGAGCTGACTCGAAAATCCCCTTCAGGTAGGTGGTCGGCACTGCACGGCACTCCCCTTCCAACTCGGAACACTCAAATCTTTTGAGAATTCTCAAAAGTAGACCCTTCATGTGAACAAGCAATAGGCTTGCCCCCCCTTCATCTGCCTTGGGCCCTCTTCGTCACCTACCTGGAGGGGGGGGTACCCCACAGGTCTGCTTTTGAGTCGACTCAAAAGCCTACCTGGAGGGGGGGGTACCCCACAGGTCTGCTTTTGAGTCGACTCAAAAGCCTACCTGGAGGGGAGGGTACCCCACAGGTCCACTGTGCGACTGTCATTTCATGTTTGCGCTTCTTCCCCCACAGTAAGTACCCCCTTCCTCCACAAAAGTACTCCCCTTCACAACAGAAATGCCCTTTTTTTCATCTCGTCTTTGATTTTCTGTTCTATTCATTTCGCTTCTCCTCTGCCTGCCCCATTGAGTGCAGTGGAGGGTGGTGGAAGCTGCGATTGGCTCCAACCCGCGCCACCTGGCGGAGTTTCATTCGCTGTGGGCTGGCTGGCGGGAAGAGGAGGACGAGTTTGAGCGCGTGGATAGCTGCATTGACCATTACCTGGCCTACCTGCATGTACGTGTTCACATGAATGGTTTAGAGTGGTGAAGAGGTGGTTTAAGGTGATGGGGGGTGGTTCGAAGGGGGTGAGGTCTGTTGTGAGTTTCATTCGCTGTGGGCTGTCTGACGGGAAGAGGAGGACGGGTTCGAGCGAGTGGATAGCTGCGTGGACCACTACCTGGCCTATTTGCATGTATGGGTTGAAGGGAGTGGTTCAGAGTGGTGTGGGGGTGATGAAGAGGAGTTGAGCGGGGTGAGGTCTGTGATTTTACTGCCAGTATGTTTGAGCGAGTGGATAGCTGCGTGAACCACTACCTGGTTTACCTGCATGTATGGGTTGACAGGAGTGGGCTAGAGTGGTGGAGGGATGATGTAGAGCCGTTGGGAGGGGAGGGCTGATTTTGAGCGCATGGATCGCTGTGTGGAACATTACCTGGCATACCCACATGTATGTGTGATGAGGGGTGGGAGAGAGAGGTGGGGGGGTATGTTGGAGGGTGTGTTGGGTGTTATGTTGGAGGGTATGCGACAATGTGCTGGTATTGAGTTTGATTGAGTGTGTTGCTTTCTCTCATCTCTCTGCTCGTCCTTTCTCCTTTGTGTCCTACTTTCTCGGCTGCACAGGCGACGGAGGTTGAACCAGCCATGCAAGCAGCACTCACACACCTCGAGAGGTTCGGAGAGCAGCTAGCTTCGGGAGAACAGCCTCGGTGGGCGGCTAGGTTTGGCAGCCCCTGGGGCAATGCGCCAGGAACGTGGGGCAGGCGGTGGGTGGAATGGAGGGAGGGGAGAAGAGGAAGAGATAGAGTGAAATGGATACCAGAGTTTGGTTATGGGATCAATAAAGGGGATGTGCATGGGAGGCAGGAAGCATTACAAAGAGACACGCAGGGAGAGAAGGAATCAAGGTTTACCAAGGAGGGTGAAGTGCCAGAAGAGGTTTCTGCGAGGAGTGGGAAAGAGGAGGAGGAAGAGGAGGAGGGATGGATGGAGGAGGAGGAGAAAGGGGAGTATCGACGGCAGCTGAGGGAGTGGGCGCGGTTTCAGATGATGGATTTCGTTTATGCACTGGCAACTGCCGAGTTCGGGGTGAGCTGTGCTGCTGCTGCTGCTGCTGCTGCTGCTGCTGCTGCTGCTGCTGCTGCTGCTTCTGCTGCTGTTGCTGCATTGTTTGGGATTTGCTGCTAGGTTTGATGTGCCTCTTACAAGCTGAGAGCAAGATGGGATGTTTTTGTCGCTCCCACGCCATGCGATCAGGAATTGGTGGAAATTCCTAAGGCTGTTCATTTGGAGGTGAAAATTACAGTTGGTCTCCATGTGTTTTTCCACGATGCAGGTGAATTATGGCAAAGACTCAGGGGAAGAATTTATGGAGGATCCAGCAGCTGCTGCGCTTCTCAAGGTGAGGAGTGCCATTTGCAAATCAATCACTATAAAATGTTTTCACATAGTTAAGGGATGAATATACGTATTTACCCTTTTACCCCTCTTTCAAAGCAGCTCATGATGAATTCACTTACTGCTGTTACTGCCACAGTCACCATGTTGGCATCACAGCTCATGCACATGTACCATTGCCTTGTATGTGAGGACATGCGCTCTAAATCTAATCAGACTCTCCCCTGTGTGTTCTGATCAGGTTGGGTTGTTGTACCAGCAACGGGATCCCATGTATGTCCGACCAACATCGGTTGCGTTTCAACGATGTCTCACTCGCTGGTGAGATTTTTCTCAATATTGTGTTCTTGCTTCCAGTTGCTTGTACATCACCTGATTTTTTCTCACCTCACATGGTTGTTTGTACCTTCCAGGCTTGTAAATGAATGGCTTCGACTTGGTTACCTTCAAACTGCCAAGTACTATTGGATGAGAGCATGCCGTGGCCGTCATTACCGCCATTTGATGCTGGAATGAGTGGCATTCAATGTCAGATCGGCTTGAGATGATGTCAGCAAGAGAAGTTGAATTTATTTTTGTTTCAATAATTTTTATCGAGACTTCCTTAAACGAAGACTGACGAATCACTGCTCCCTGTCCCCACCAGAATCGAGGTGAGGTGACAACCTGTCAGAGGCTTGTTCAGGCTCCTGAATCTGCGGATCAAGCACATATGATCAACGGGTCACACGGGTACGCATGTCCTGTCATGGTGGGGGCTTGTCCTAAGACGAAAACGCCCAGTCAAATTGAGCTGCTAAGTGTTGCTTGACTTGTGATCTCCGTCTGAAATGAGTCGTTTTTAACAAAGATGAGCCGAGTCGTTCAGTGAAGCCGGATACAGAACGAGGCCTTTTCCCCTTCAATCATGTCCCCGTCCGCTGGTGGTTGGGTAGGTGCTGACTTAGAGGCTCATTGGCGTCGGATCGACGGACCACATCGCATCACAAAACGTCGTCCACCGTAAACCTCGAGGCTGCCTCAACCTAACCAAAGTGACTCGAACCCACAGCATCACATACTGTAATCTTCGCTCAAACCCTCAACCAACCATTCTAGAATGCATACAAACCGCTCCGACACGCACAGCATCTTATGAAACGGCATAAGAGTGTGTTACTACACACCCGCAAGCTTTCCGGATTACCTAGCTAGAGCGAAGGTGGAACTATGGTAACCGCCATTACCAAACTGGTCTAGGAAGCAGCTTCTCCTCGTCGTTGACACTGCTTGTCCATGCTTTTATCATCTCGATTTCTGATGCCGTATCCCGCCGACTGTGATCTTACTTTTCGATTTTTTTCGAACTATCCATGGCCCAGCCAGTAGCAACCAGGTCGTGCATGAGACCTCCACAACTACGAGAATTGCTGTCTCCTAGCAGCAGACTTTATAGGAAGTGCAGGAAATCATTGAACTTGTAGCACGACCTTCCCTAATCCATACAAACGCTCCTCGAGGCGTCCAACCGAGCATATTAGTCGTCTGGAGTATGTGTGATGACTGTTTTTTGGACGAATAGTCATCCAAGCATCCATTTGATCATGGCTCCGACGGCTGCTAAGTTGAGTAGAATATAGCACTAGGCATAAAGCTGGCCATGGCTCCCGCGACGAGCAAGCAACTTGAGCAGCCTACCTCATCGCTTGCTGAAATCGCGGCGGATAGACAACGGGAGTTTGAATTTCCTTCAAATGTAATACATCCGAATAATAAGGCCGCGAGCCAAACAAGTAACGACAGCCATGAAGGTCAGACCGCCCTGCTTGTTGACGTTGACGGTGACGGTGACGGATCTGTATGCAGCAGTCCGGGTCCCCGGACTTGCCGGAGCTCTGACGGAACATGTCAGATTCCAGTAGCTGCAACGACTGGTCTAGACGGAGGCGGTGCGGCCGGCGGGATCTTAAGTTGGGGAGGACGAAATGAATCGTCACTCAATACTGACTTGGAACTTTTAGCAAGAGCAAAGAGGCTAAGCCTTGGAGCAGCCGCGTTAGAATCTCGCGGAGATCCGTCTGGACACGACATGCTTATATCGGGGACGTACGCTGTGCATTCTCGTCTGCGAATCACGCCACTTATTTCGCAGCGGAGTGACGTGTACCTCTCTCCCTCCACGTCTGCGGGATCTCTTTCCCACTCAACCGCGGGCAGCCCAAAGAAAAACCTGCAGATACGACGGCCGGGCTCGGCAACTGCTGGCAGCCCGACAAAATTCTACCAATCTCGGGCAGGATCCGCAGATTTGCTAGCGCACGTGCAAGCAGCAGCGGAAACGCAAAGAAGAAGCCACGGCGAGAGACAAGGGGAGAGCCTAGATGGGAGTCCCAGAGGAAAGGATCGGGGAGAGGGTCTTGAAGCAGTCCAAGGGAGGGGTCAGGGAACGAAGTACCGGACGGGCCGGTATGGGAAGGACAGTCCGTTACTGGAAACCAGGGATGATCTGACGGCGGCGGTTCGCAGCAGACGGAAGGAGCGACGCGTTACAGACGACTTCGCTAACCTTGTCAGTGGCTGCCTTCCACCTCACCCTTTCTCCACACGCTCTCCTCCGACTCGTTTAGTATTGCGTAGTGCTTTCTCTCTCTTTCTCTCTCCATCCTCCCCTTCTCTTTCAGGAATGCGTGAAGTTTTTCCGGTTTGTGTGCTTGTTTCTTACCTTCATCTGCAGGTGGAGCTGGTTCGGCTGAGGGAAGCCAACGTGCGACTTGAAGCGGAGGTGCGTGCATTTGACTCGTCTGTCTCATGAATTAACTCGCAGATAACTATCAGGCTAACTTTCGACTTGAAACGGAGGTTCGTGCGTTTGATATGGCTAGAGTGGTGGTTAGCCGGTTAAGTGAGTGGGGGTTAGTCGGGGAGAGGCGTCCATGGCGCGTGGTAGCTAGCAGGTTAGCTAGGAGTGCGACTAAGGGAGATGCGCGCGTTCCACTCGAGTAGGTTTTTTCCAACGGCGCCTGGAAGGAGAGAGGCGGCTCCTATCAGCGCCCAGGAATGTGTGTTTCGGAGGCGTCTCACACGTTTTCCTGTCTTTCGCTTCGTGTCCCTCCCCCTCCCCCCCTCCTCCGCCCTCCCCCCGCGCCCTGCCCTCAGGTGTCTCGCCTTCGAGACAAGTCGGACCGTCTGGAGGGGGAGAGGCGGCGGCTGTCAGCGCGGCTGGCGGCGGTTCACACGGCAATGCAGCAGCTGGAGAGGGAAGCTGCTATTCGGAGCCGGACGCGGGCAGAGGCCACTATGGGAGCCCAGCAGAAGGTACTATGCGGTGCTGTGTGGCACTGTGTGGCGCTGTGAGGTGCTGTGGGGATGCTGGGTGGGGTGGTGTTAGGGCGAAACCCGAGGTGTCTTGTTCACACGGCGATGCAGCAGCTGGAGAGGGAGGAGGCTATTCGGAACCGGACGCGGGCAGAGGCCACCATGGGAGTTCAGCAGAAGGTGTGTGGATCTATGTGTTGTTGTTGGGTGCCGTGTGGTGCCGTGTGGTGCCGTGTGGTGCCGTGTGGTTCCACGTGGTGCTGTGTTGAGCTCGCCACTCGGCAACGTAGCAGCTGGAGAGGGAGGCAGTTATTTGGAGCCGAATGAGGGCAGAGGGCACTGCTGTAGGCATGTAGCACAAGTTATGATGCGGTGCTGTGGGGTAATATGGGGTGCTGGAGACAGCAGAGGGCGCGAGGGTGGAGAGGGTAGAATCACCTGCTGCTTCTGAATCTACATAAGCCCGCTGTCCGCCCATCGTGTTTGCATTGCAGGGATGGAACCAGCGGTTCAGCGGTGATCCCAGTGCCATGGAGCGAGTGCCAGAGACAGCAGAGGACGCCAGGGTGGAGAGGGCGGGCAGCAAAACAGATCCTTTCTGCGGTTGTCTTGTCTTGTCTTGTCTTGTCTCCTCCCACCTTAACAGGGGTGGAACCGGTGGTTCAGTGGGGATCCCAGTGCCATGGAGCGAGTGTTAGAAACAGCAGAGGACGCCAGGGTGGAGAGGGCGGCTGCTGCTGCCACTGTGGAGAAACTCGTGGAGGAAAACGCTCGCCTGGTGCAACAGGTGGGTCATAGCCTGTGTATTGGCTTGGCCCTTAGAGTTGCCTCTTTTATACGATCGATTGTGTATCTCTCTACCCCATTCAAAAGGATTTTACGAACACCTCAAAGCTGGCTCGGAGGCCTAGTGAGTGACCCTTTTGTCGTTCGTTGGTTTAAATTTCTGTATATCAATATGCGTAAACCCTCTGGTGCGTGTGCAGATGAACGAGCAGAAGCTGCTGATAGCGAATCTGGTTACCACCATGCGGACCACCACCATCCCAGGAACCCCTGCTGGGGTCCCAGCCAGCTCTCAGGGCATGCATGCTGGCCTCTCTCCTATGCTTACTCAGCCTCTGCCAGCTCATGCCACGTCAGCAGCAGGAAGAACAACGGCAGCAGCAGCAGCAGTAGTGGAGGATAACTCCCCCTCTTCCTCCTCTGCACACTCCCAGCTGTCCTTCCCCACCTCCTCTCTCTCCACCCCCCCTGCTTCTTCTCATGAGCTTCCTTTCACAGGAAGATCAGCAGCAGCTGCATTGGCAGCACTGCCAGTTCGTGCCACGTCAGCATCTGAGTACACCCTCACAGCTGACGTGGCAGGGTTGGGTTCAGTGGATCAAGCAGCATTGGCAGGGGGTGTGGGTGGTACCCAGGGAAGGGTCCCAGCTGCTCAAATGAGCCAGAATGTTCAGGACGAGTCCTCCAGGTCTCCATCCCCGCGCCCAACCGCTCTGCACCCTTCTGCACCGTTTCCGGCTGCAACGAATGGTGGTTCTTACACTGCCACAGAGCAAGCATTCCCGGTTGCCAGAGATGGTGGTTTCCAAACTGCCACTGGTACAGCATCCGGTGCTGCCAGGGAGGATTCTAGGGACAGTCACGGTACCTTTCTCACAGCAAATGGCCCCTCTGCTTTCCTGCAATCCGCACACTCGTCCTCCTCGTCCCTTGCTGCAGATGCCTCCTTACTCCTGCCTGTAGTGCGCAGTGCTCCTCCTCCCTCTGCGGCTCTGTGTGCGCAGCAGCCTACCCCTACTCTGTCTGAATCATCCAGCCGGTATCCTGCCATCTGGCCCGTGACTTACAGTGAGAGGGAATTGGAAGGAGCAGGAGGGGGAGGAGGAGGAGGGGTGGAAGGAGGGGGTGGAGCAGTAGCTCTGACTGTAGGAAATGGGACTGTAGGAGACGTGAGGGCACGAGGGATGGTGGATGAAGCTGGGTCTGTTGTGGCTGCTGGCAGTGGGGCTGGTGGTGTGGGCTTGGTTGGTGCTGGTGAAATTGCGGTTAGGGGAGCAGGGGGTGTGGAGCGGAATGAGGTGTCGCTTATTGATTCGCCGCTTGTCGGTGCGCCGTTTAGGCTGGCGTTTTTCCTGGTGAAGGTGGTGAGTAAGACAGGGATTGTTCAGAGGCTGGCAGGCAGGCTGGTGGGGGGGAGAAATAAGGACTTGGGGGCAGGTGGAGAGACACAGAATGTCAATGTGGACAGAGGAGTTGGGTCGTCTGTTGGCATGCTTTAGGAGTGTTTCTAGAGCCCCCTGTGATGCAACGTTCAGGGGACTATAATGGGTGATATGCAGGACAGTGGCTTGAAAGTATGGGCTAATGCTGTGCTTTTCATCAATGTATAAACTAGGAATGCTGGGGTATCCATGCTCATTTGTCTAGGAACAGTATGTTTGTACGAGGTATAGATGTGTTGAACAGAGTCGTTCGGAATGCTCACGGTCGCCACTTCTCGAGTGGACTTGTAGCGGGTTCGCGCCAGTTTCAACGACATTTTGCCGCTCGGTATTCCCTGTGTCAGACAGCCCAGCCTTCCATTCAGCGTCAAAAAATCGTAGAATCATTTGCATTGGCAGCATTCCTCATTTTGTCAGTCAGTCCTATCTCGCGGCTTAGGACTAGTTTGTTAGTAATGGATGCTTGACACGATGATTCTTGCTATCACCCGGCATTAGGTTTCTCGCATTGTTGATGTTACATGGCATTATCGCCTGCGCGCATGGGCTGAGTCTTAGTTACTGGACTTCAACATTCGGGGATCCTAGCGCATTGCACGGCAACCATGAGATTGTCGCGATTCGCTCTCGTCGCCGCGTTGTTGTGCACAGGCCACCTCTCCCTGGTACGCCGAGGCTCGTGATCGTTGCCGTTGCCCGTTTACGCTGACTTAATTGCTTGTCATGATCCCGACTGTTGCCTTGCTGCAGCGTCGTAATAAGGTTGTTGCCGCGGTGACATTCCCTGAGATGACTGTCGGGTGGCGGTGTGACGGTGTCTAGAGCGCGGTGTGATTCAACTGCTTTAGTTCAACAAACAAATTTAGACGCCTCAATTATGTGTACGAGCCATAATAGTCGGCATAGCAGTCATAACTTATAACCGCTAGACGTCGTAACGAGTACGAACGAGTACCAACGACTGCGAGATGGCGTAAGAAGCTTTAACTTTGTGCTTGCCCCAGTATATTGATACTAGAGCCATGATCTATATTTCCCACTTTCCAAGCATTCTCCAACCGTTGTCCCTTGCTCCCGGACCGACCCCTAGCCTCCCAGACCGGCCGCCGAGCCTCCCAGACCGGCCGCCGAGCTTCCCAGACTGGCCGTCAAGTCTCCCTGTTCCAAAGTTCCCTTCTTTTCGCCTCTGCTGCGTGTCCAATCCGTCGCTTGTCCGTTGCAGGTGAATCCGACCCTTGTTGCTTGTGACGGTAACTCAAACAGGGACATCACTGACAGCCTCGCGCCTTCATACGGACAAGCGGAAGACCGTGGCAGGGAAAGAGGACGAACAGGGACAGGAGCAATTCCGGAATTACCAGAGCTAGAGCATGTCTCAAATATTGGAGTAGTGCAGGCTACTACACGGGGTGACCTATTAACGCAAAGTTCAGAGAGAGAGGTAGGTCACGAGGCGGTGTGGAAAGAGGGATGGGGAGAGCGAGGGTTAGACTGGGGAGAAAATAGGCAGGTGGAAGTTTTTTCAGAGGACAAGAGGCTGCAGAGGAGAGGAGGGAAAGGAGGAGGAGAAAGAGGAGAGGTCGAAAGTAGGAGAGGGGAGACAGGAGCCGGAGGAGGGCAGAAGGAAGGGCGGAGACGAGGAAGGAGGAGAGACGGACTGCAGCATATGCTGAGAATGGATGCAGGAGGCCATGCAGAGAGCCATGCAGAGAGCCATGTGGGGAGGCATGCAGAGAGCCATTCTCGGCGCTCGCTGTATGAGCCTGACGGGGCCTTGAGGTCACGGCACCACCGGCTGTTCAACTCGTGCTGGAGCGTGCATGAAAGGCGCTACTATCAGCCTGTGAGTCTTATCCGTTTGAAGTGACTTTAGAATCTATGTAAACCTCACTTGAAAGGCACTCAAAAGTTACTAAAGAAATGATCACAGGCGCTATTTCCAACCCCTGAGTCTTTGCGATAAAAAAAAAAATCGGGTTCTCGCTAAGATGTTCAGAGGCAGCTGTTGAATCTACTCTAATAGTCCATCCTCGTTGCAACCCCTTTGCGTGCAGGCATTATCCGCCAGCACGCCCATGGTGGAGCGTGTGAGGCCGCATGCAGAGAGGCAGCATTTACCAGATCACTAAAGGACTGCCCATATTGATCCTTTCGATCCTATCCTCGTTCCGACACCCATCCAGGCGGCATCCGCCAGCACGCCAATGACTGAAGAGCTGGCTGAGCGGCTGAAGGCGTATGCAGAGAGGCAGGCGCGGTGCATCAACGGCGTGAAGGACTGGCCTGCTTTCCTCTCCAATCCGTGCGTGCCACGTGGCAGGCTCTCATACCCATGCTTGTGTAAAGGGAATCATGCTTCATCATGTGCCTTGCACACACTTACCACACACTCTCTCTTCACACTCATGGTGGTGTGCTTTCACCACACTCTCACCACACATAGCCTTTGAAACGACCGCTTCCGAACCCGCTCTGCTCAACGCCTCCTCTGAACTCCCACCGTGCAGTGCAAAAGGACTTCACGTGAAGCGAGGTTGTTTTTGAGACGTCTCAAAAAGAACCCGCTCTGCTCAACGCCTCCTCTGAAATCCCACCGTGCAGCACAAAAGGACTTAAAGACGGAGTGGATGCATCCTCCATACAAGAATGCACTTACCTCTATCATCTCGACCCTGCCTACAGTGGTGAGCCTTGAGTCGACCCATGCAGATGCATGCTGCTTACATAGCCTTCTTACCAACCGCACTCTCTGTTTTCCACTTCTCCATCCCCTTATGCCTTCTCATCTCCCGTCCAGGCCTGGGCAACCAGCTGCTCTCCCTCGTCTCTTCCTTCACCTACGCCCTGCTCACCCATCGCACGCTCATCATCAACACACTTTTCTCACCACCATGCCCGCACGCCCACTCTTTCCCCACTTTCCCCACTTTCCCCTCTTTCCACTGTCTTTCCCCTCGTCCCTTGTCCAGGTCTGGGCAACCAGCTGCTCGCCCTCGTCTCCTCCTTCACCTACGCCCTTCTCAACAACCGCACGCTTATCATCAACCCACACGCGCAGGCAGCCCTCTTCCTCTGCGACCCCTTTGCATTCACCCCCACCCCGTCTACTTGGATGCCCATGGACTCACCCACCTTTGCGTGAGTTCTGACTTCTGAGTGCTGAGCGCGTGAGTGCTGACCCCCCTGTGTTTTCACCTCCTCACCAGCCGCACGCTAATCATCAACCCACACGCACAGGCAGCCCTCTTCCTCTGCGACCCCTTCGCTTTCACCCCCACCCCATCCACGTGAATGCTCATGGATTCGCCCACCTTCGCATGAGTTGAGTGCTGAATGCTGAATGCTGACCATTTTGTCTCAAACTGTTTCCTCTGCAATCCACTCGCATTCACCGCCACCCCGTCTACTTGGATGCCCATGGACTCGACCACCTTCACATGAGCGCTGAGCTGAGTGCTGACCCTCTTCTGTGTCAAAAGGGTTTGACCCCCTTATGTCCTCTTCTCCCACTGCTCCTTTCTCTTCCATTTCCTGTAGTACCATTTCCACTCACTCCTTACTCTCTCATATGTCCACTTCCTCTTTCCCCGTTCACCTCTCTTTGTTTAGAATTGAAACCAGAAGTACCCGATGGTCTGCTTCCTCTTTCCCCATTCTCATCTCTTCTCTTCTCTCTGTTCTAACCCCTCCCTTAATCTACCCTCCTTTCCCAATCGCTCCTGCTCCCTTCGTTTCCTGTTCTCCCATCTCCAGAGCTCAGCGCAATGTAATCACGAAGCAGTCTCCAAGGTTCGGCACGGCAGCCTATGCTGCAGCCATGGGCGCTCTAAGTAGCAACAGCACTACCACCAGCATCAGCACCAATAGCAGCACTACCAACAGCAGCGCCATGAACAACACAGACGTTAACACGGCTGGGGGGGGAGAAAGCAGTGCAATCCGAGGGCCCTCTTCTTCTGCCGCAGTTGGTGCTGCTGCTGCTGATGCTGCTGCAGCTGCCTCTCCAGTGAACAGCAGCAGCAGCAGCAGCAACAGCAGCAGCAGCAGCAGCAGCAGCAGCGTGGGGAGGGTGAACATGGTCTATGTGGAGCTCAAATTCACGTATGCTTCTGCTGCCCGCTGCTGTCCTTCTTGCTTGCTCCCATTGCCCAGTCCCGTAATTTTCTACTTCTCACCCCAAGCGTTCGCGTCCCCCTGCCCCACACCCCCCCTGCCCCAGACTCCCCCTGCCCCACACTCCCCCTGCCCCACACCCCCCCTGCCCCACACTCCCCCTGCCCCACACTCCGCCTGCCCCACACTCCGACTGCTCCATACTTCCCTCTCTCACGCCCCGCTGTTTCTCGCATGGTGGATGTGTGTCGGTGCTATGCTGTGCCCGCGTATGTGAGGCACGCATGTGCATGCTTGTATATGCATGCGTGTGCATGTGAGTGTGTGTGCATGTGTGTGCATGTGGGTGCATGATAGTGTGTGTGTGTGTGTGAGTGTGTGTGTGCATGCTTGTGTGCGTGAGTGAGGGTGTGTGGGTATGTAAGAGTGTGTGTGTGTGGTTCTGCGCGTGCACGCCCATGTCCCTATGTGTGTGTGTGTGTGTGTGTGTGTGTGTGTGTGTGTGTGTGTGTGTGTGTGTGTGTGTGTGTGAGTATCTGTATGTGTGCATCCGTATGTGTGGATATGCATGTGTGTGTGCCTAGTGCATCAGAGGCAGACCTAGCGTTCTTCTGTCCGCAGCATCATCACCAGCACCACCAACACGGCTCCCTCTCCTCGGTTCGCATCCTCGGTCTGCTAACAGACGCCTACTTACTCCCTGCTCTCTACCACGCGCCACACTTGCAAGTGAGTGGAAAAGCCTGGTCTCCCGTTCGTTCCACTCGAGTTCAAACCCTCTGATGCACTCCTCTCCATTTTTGTTGAGGTTGATTTTGAGAATTCTCAAAACCCCCCTCCCTGCTCTCTACCACGCACCATACTTACAATACAAGCAAGTGAACAACTCTGAACTCCCTTCTTGAGGCGCCTCACGAATTAAAACTTACCTACTCCTGCTATGTACCATCCACCACCCTGACTGGTGAGCAACCGTATCTCCCTTTTGGACCCTGCGCCCCACTTTCCCCAGGCTGAGTTGGAGCGCCTGCCTGGTCCCCAACCCCAATCGCCTGGAGCTGATGCACGTGGCTCAACTATGTTTTCTGAGAAGTCTCAAAAAACACAAGTTGGAGCGCCTGCCTGGTCCCCAACCCCAATCGCCTGGCGCTGATGCACGTGGCGCCTGCTCCCCATCCCCAACAATGCAAGCCTTCTCTTCCTGCCATATTCCCTCTGCGCCCCCGACATTCAACAGGCTGAGTTGGAGCTTTTATTCCCCGACCGCCTGCCTTTGATGCACGTGGGGCGCTACCTGCTGCACCCCGCCAACTACCTCTGGGAGGAAATCACCCGCGCCTTCCGAGCCTACCTCGCCCCGCACCAACACAGGGTCGGGATCCAGGTCCGTATTAGGTTCGGTATCCATTCAATCACAGGTTCGTCATACAGCAAAGATTCGGCGTTCAGGTCAGTGGTTAAAAAACACCTCCTTCAATGCATTCTCCCCTCCCTCTGCTCTTTGCCTTTTCTCCTTCACACATACCTCACATCCGTGTGTTCCAGAAGTACGTTCCAGCTGAGATTGTGCTTCTGTCACTGGTGAATGGGACTAAAGCGGTGGCTGGTAGATGTGATTCTAAAGTATCCACCTCTCACCCTCTTCTGCTCCTATCACCTCAGATTCGTGAGTTCCAGAAGTACATACCAGCTGATGACGTGCTGCAGCGGGTGGTGGAGTGCAGTGCCGTTCGGGTGAATGGGGTGCTAGATTTTCCCTCGCAACCCCCAAATTTCCCTTCCCACATTTTACATATGCTGCAGATTCGTGAGTTTCAGAAGTACGTGCCAGCTGATGATGTGCTGCAGAGAGTGGTGGATTGCATGGTGAACGTGACTAAAGTGGTGGGCCCCATATTGTCACACGAGGACTGGGAGAAGCTGACGAAGCAGGTCAGTCAGTTGGTCGGTTTGTTGGTCCGTACTACGCACTCAATCCTGCCCTCCTTCAACTGTCGTGGACCTCTTATGCTCAAGTTCCCTGGCCGCAGCTTGTCTTTAATCCACGTGCCATGCCGCCGTTGCCCCGCACACTGAAGCACACACCCCTCAAAGCCGTACAGCATTCTTGCGCGGACAAGAAATGCTCAACAGGGGAAGGGAACCGAATGTCGAGGCACGTTGGTTGATCGAGGGCGAAACCCTGGAGTCTTCAGAAAGAAGCTGCGGTGGAAGTGACTGAGAATTAAGTCCACGTGGTAGCTTGTAATGGCTTCACGTCATGGATGGATGCGACGAAGATATGGAATGAAAAGAAAAACTCATTTGTCTGAACCCGGAATCGAACCGGAGACCTCCAGTGTGTGAGACTGGCGTGATAACCGACTACACCATCCAGACATGCAATTCATTCAGTCAGTTACTTAATCAGCAGTTGGCGGTCAGTCGGTCGGTCGGTCGGTCAGTCAGTCAGTCAGTTAGTTAGTCAGTCAGGCTATCAGTACTGGGTTGGTGAGAGGCGAAGCTAAGCGAGCGGGTATATTAGGAAGTGTGGAAGGGAGGAGAAGAGTATGAGGAGTGGATCAGGGCATCGTACATATTCTGATTATCTTCGTCTCTCCTTGTCCCTCCTTCCGTCTGTCACCCTCCCTGCATGCAGGCACCTCCCAGCAACGCCTCCCTCCTGAGCCAAGTACTGGGAGAGCAGGAGCTGGTTCAGGGGCAAGGGCAGCCGCAAGGGGAGAAGGACGAGAAGGAAAACGGGGAGCATGTGAAATCAGAGGATGGCGACAAGAAGGAAGGCGAGAAGGGAGGCGAGAATAAAGTTGAAGAGGGGATGCAGATGTTGGGAAGAGGGGATGGGGGTGGTGGAGGGGCGGAGGTGGAGAGATTAGGTGGTGGGGAGGTGAGGAGGAAGGGGGGGAGTGTGGGGGTGTTTGTGGCGTCGCTGCGGGCAGCGTATGGGGAGATGCTGAGGGAGATGAGCACAGAGGGGCGGCCAGAGGGCGGGCAGGAGATTGCTGTTAGCATGTGAGTGAATGGGTGAAGCCTTGTGTGTGAACTGAGATTGCGTATGGGGAGATGCTGAGGGAGATGAGCACTGAGGGGCGGCCAGAGGGCGGGCAGGAGATTGCTGTTAGCATGTGAGTGAATGGGTGAAGCCTTGTGTGTGAACTGAGATTGCGTATGGGGAGATGCTGAGGGAGATGAGCACTGAGGGGCGGCCAGAGGGAGGCCAGGAGATCGCTGTCAGCATGTGAGCTGGCCCCTCTGCACGTTTTTTTCTGTGCTCTTGTGTATACGCTTGTGTGCGCTTGGGCAGGGTTGAGGATTTGTTCGTCTTTTTCACCTGCCCCACCCCCCTTCCCATCCCCTCGTTTCTTTGCCCCCTTACTCTACTCTCATCCCAGGCTGACCCTCGATGGAGATGACTTTTGAGTCGACTCAAAAGGCTGAGCCACCATGGAAATGACTTTTGAGTCGACTCAAAAGGCTGAGCCACCATGGAGATGACTTTTGAGTCGACTCAAAAGGCTGAGCCACCATGGAGATGACTTTTGAGTCGACTCAAAAGGCTGAGCCACCATGGAGATGACTTTTGAGTCGACTCAAAAGGCTGAGCCACCATGGAGATGACTTTTGAGTCGACTCAAAAGGCTGAGCCACCATGGAGATGACTTTTGAGTCGACTCAAAAGGCTGAGCCACCATGGAGATGACTTTTGAGTCGACTCAAAAGGCTGAGCCACCATGGAGATGACTTTTGAGTCGACTCAAAAGGCTGAGCCACCATGGAGATGACTTTTGAGTCGACTCAAAAGGCTGAGCCACCATGGAGATGACTTTTGAATCGACTGAAAAGGCTGAGCCACGATGGAGATGACTTTTGAGTCGACTCAAAAGGCTGAGCCACCATGGAGATGACTTTTGAGTCGACTCAAAAGGCTGAGCCACCATGGAGATGACTTTTGAGTTGACTGGAAAGGCTGAGCCACGATGGAGATGACTTTTGAGTCGACTCAAAAGGCTGAGCCACGATGGATCACAGCAGCTGAGGGTAAAGAATCAGGCAGCGAGAGCATTATAATCGACTCAATCCTCAACTGTCGCCTCCTCTTTCCCCCCACCTTGCTCCACATAACCCCTCTCCTATTTCCCCTCCTCCTTATGCCCAGGCTGAGCCACGAGGGAGCACAGCAGCTGAGGGAGAAGAAACAGGCGGAGAGGGCGCTGAGGGAGATGTGGCTGCTCTCCATGTGGTATGTGTGTGTGTGTGTGTGTGTGTGTGTGTGTGTGTGTGTGTGTGTGTGTGTGTGTGTGTGTGTGTGTGTGTGTGTCTCCTTTGTATTCATGGCGTTATGCTCTCCACGTGCGATGCGTCTATGTGGTAGGCATGTCATAAGCTTGTTCGAATCAGGTTGCGATGGTGATTATGGTACACATATTGCTTCAATCAAGCACACACCCTTCAGCTTTGAGACGTCTCTGTGCTCCCTTGCCCCTCCTCCCTCTCCGCACTCACCTCAGTGACACGCTACTCATAACAGCCACGTCCACATTCAGTCAGATAGCAGCAGGCCGAAAGGGGAATCACTCTTGCCCTTTCTCTCCACTCGGCCGAGTGGCCGAGTGTGGAATCGTTCAGTCAATTCAGCATTGTGGCTCGCTAAGTGCACTCACCCCATTCCCCCTTTCTCTCCTCACACTTCCCAGTGACACACTTCTGATCACGGACACATCCACATTCGGCTACATAGCAGCAGGCCTGGCGGGCGTTCGCCCCTACTCTCTCAACATCGTCGCTCGCTACCACAGCGACTGGCGCAAGAACAACCGAACCTCCTGCTCCCGAACCTCCCCCGAGCCTTGCTACTTGTCAATATTCGACGTCAAGTCGAGGCATATTCAGGTGAGGATCTAGCTACTCTGTATGTGAAGAAGGCTGAATTGAGCTGCTGAGACAGTTTTTTATGCGCCTCAGAAATATATTAGTCCTGGTATGTGTCCTTTTGTGAGAGAAGATCACTTCGAGCGACTGAGGGTACATTCCTCCCAAGACGCGTCTTCATAACTTCGCGTCACAAGCGCTATTCGTGACTGATTGTGATTAGACCAATCCAGCTAATGTGGCTGATCGCAATTAGTCACGAATAGCGCTTCTGACGCGAAATTCTGACGACGCGTCTTCTCAGGAATGCACCCTGAGGGGTGTGATTATCAATATTTCAAAAGCATATTGTTCACCACAGCAGGACATAAGGTTTCCCTCTCATCCTTACGGATTGCCCTTCCCCGTGCTGCCCAATGGCCCAAGAAATGAAGACGGTGACCCGGTTCTTCCTACCTTAGTCCTGCCACCCACCCACCCCATTTTTCTCCCTGGCTGACTAGTACCCTGGAGTGCCCCAGCAGCCCTGTTTTGAGTCGATTCAAAAGCTTTTTCCCTCCACCCACGCAAATCCTTTCCTCCCTTTCTGACTTCCTTGCAGTGCCCCAGCAGCCCTCCAGTCACCACACCAGCAGCTGTTTCCCCTCTCGTCGAATCTTGTCCCAATTACGGCATGGGCCTTTCAATTGTGCAAAAAGGCACAGACGAGACGACAGTCCTTTTTTAGTTGTGTAAATGATTTTTTCCAAAGAGCATGCCTTTGAACTGCCCTATCCACAGTTGTTTTTCCAACTTGGCTAGTGGTGAAAGGAACAAATTCCAACACATTATACCATAAACATGAAATAAATTCCTGGAGAAAACAACATTTTAAGTCGATGCGATAACATTCAAAGGATCTAGATTCCAACAACTCAAGATTTGCGCCTAGTGATGCGTAAAAGGACTTGACGTGCTACTTGGTAAGAGTTGTATGAATCTTCTAATCAGACAAAGAGTGCAGGCGCAAGCAGTGCCATCTCCCCAAAATTGAGGCAGCTCATAACGGAGACAAAAGCAGCAGGAATGCTGTCTGAGAGTCTATGGCAGAGAGTACCTGAACGCCATGGCATCAGGTGTATTGTCGACCGCGGTAGCGTTGCGACCACGCTACCATGCGGCGTCCGAACTCGGTAGTGCTACCGTCCACCCGCGTGGATCCTCCGCCCCCCAAAACGCTCCCGTCGCTTGCGCTCAATTACCCCCGTACCCCATTTTGGTCCTTTCCCAGGTGGGTGAGAGGAGAGCACGGTAGCACAACCGAGTTCCGACGCACCATGGTAGCGTGGTCGCGACGCTACTGGCTCGACAATGCACCCCATTTTGATATGTTCCCAGGTGGGTGAGAGGAGTTTTGCCGGCGGCGCGGAAATCTCCTCTCGGGTTCACGCCGCCGATGCCGCTGCAGATCACCTGCTATGGGCCTTCAGGGAATCCTGCCTTCCGAAGGCATGAGCCGTGCTAGGCAGCTTCAAACGAAACGTCATCACCGTTGATCAGCCTACTCGTACTACTCTCACAGGTTCGCTCTGGTTCGTATGATCCGTGCTGTCTGCGGCTGTTGTGACACGTTAAAATGGAGTTTCGAAATCCCTGTCATAAGGTATTAGGATTCCCGCATTCATCCCTGTCGTAAGCTATTAGAATTCTCGCATTCATCCCTGTCATAAGCTATTAGAAATCTCGCATTCATCCCTGTCATAAGCTACTAGAAATCTCGCATTCATCCCTGTCATAAGCTATTAGAAATCTCAGAGGTTTTTAGGGATTGCGATAGTTTCCGGTCCAAATCTCAGATTGATGACGACGACTCGTGGGACCATGATGTTGTCGCGACACGGAGTCCTTGCCGCCGCGCTGCTGTGTGTTAGCCTCCTCCTTCCGGTAGGCCGTCGCTCGTGATCGCTGCGCCTTCCTGTGTCAATATCCCGCTCTTTCGCTTCTGCTGCTTCTGTTGCTGCCGAATCTGCCGCCTTCGTACATCGCTCGCAGATGTTTGCTGCCGAGATGGGTTCTTGTGACGGTAGCAGTGACATTACTGAAGGCCTCGAGGCCTCAAACCGACAATATCCTTCGTTTTGCCTTTGCTGCGTGTGATTTCCATCGCTGCTTGTCCGTTCTAGGTGAATCCCACCCTTGTTACTGCTGTCAAGAGAGGAAGAATGCAGCATATGTTGAAAATGGCCACAGGGGGCCGTGCATGGAGGCATGTCGGGAGGTATGCAGGGAGGCATGCAGGGAGGCATGCAGGGAGGCATGCAGGGAGGTATGCAGGGAGGCATGCAGGGAGGCATGCAGGGAGGATTGCAGGGAGCCATGCAGGGAGGCATGCAGGGAGGCATGCAGGGAGGCATGCAGGGAGCAGTGGTCGGCGCTTGCTGTATGATCATGATGGTGCCTTGAGGTCGCGGCACCACCGGCTGTTCAACTCGTGCTGGAGTGTGCATGAGCGGCACTATTACCAATCCGTGAGTCGTACTTATTCACAGTGTTTGAGTTTGCTTCAACATCGCTTGAAGTTCACTAAAGAATCACGGTAGATTCATTCAAAGGCGCTACTACTACTTCCAACCCGTGATTTGCTGACTCCCTAGATTTTCGTTTAGATACGCAAGCGTTGAATCGACTGTAGTTTTCCATCCTCGCTGCAACCCCGTCGTCCAGGCATCGACTGCAGGCACGCCAATGACAGAGGAGCTGGCGGAGCGGCTGAAGGCGTATGCAGTCAGTCAACCTTTTTATCCCACTGTCCCCTTCCATCCCCGTTCCGGCACTCATCCAGGCGTCATCTGCCAAGACACCAATGGCAGAGGAGCTGGCGGAGCGGCTGAAGGCGTATGCAGTCAGTCAACCTTTTTATCCCACTGTCCCCTTCCATCCCCGTTCCGGCACTCATCCAGGCGTCATCTGCCAAGACACCAATGGCAGAGGAGCTGGCGGAGCGGCTGAAGGTGTATGCAGAGAGGCAGGCGCGGTGCATCAATGGAGTGAAGGACTGGCCGGTTTTCCTCTCCAATCCGTGCGTGCCACGTGGCTGGCTCTCATACCCATGCTTAAATAGTGTGAATAAGGCTTCATCATGTGCTCTGTATTACACTTGCACTTGCACACCCTGACCACACTCTCTGCACACTCATGGGGGGGTGCGCTATCAGCACACTCTCATCACACATAGCCACAAATTACCGCTCCTGAACTTGCTCTGTTCGATTCTCCCTCGAAACTCCCATCGTGCAGCACAAAAGGACTTGAAGACGGAGTGGATGCATCCTCCCTGCAGGAATGCTTCTATCTCTTTCATCTCGACCCTGCATACAGCGGTAAGCCTTTATCTGCGATGAGATGGTTGCAGTTACGTTTTTCAGCTCAGTTCCCACGTCCTTGGTATAAATCAAAGGACTGCTACTGTTGCATCCACCAACCAACTCAACCGCTCTCGCTGTTCTCCCCTTCACTATCCCCTTATTCCTTCTCGTTCTCTCCCTCGTCTCTTCCTTCACCTACACGCTCGCTCCTCACCAGTCGCACGCTCACCTCCCCCGCACCTACACATTTCCCCTTTCACTTAAGCCGTCCTCACCGCCCGCACTTTCTGTTCCGCCGTTCCACCCAGCTGCTCTCCGTCGTGTCCTCGTGTCCTTATTCGACCCACTGCGCTCATTTTCAGCCCACTCCTCTCTCTCCTCCATTTCCCTTCCTCCAGGTCCGCGCAACCAGCTGCTCTCCGTCGTGTCCTTGTGTCCTCATTCGACCCACTGCTGTCTTGCTTCCTCCCATCCACTCTGTTCACTCCTCTCATGCCTCCCTCTCATGCCTTGTCCAGGTCTGGGCAACCAGCTGCTCGCCCTAGTCTCTGCCTTCACCTACGCCCTGCTCACCCATCGCACGCTCATCATCAACACACTTCTCTCACCACCTTGCCCGCACGCCCACTCTTTCCCCTCTTTCCACTGTCTTTCCCCTCATCCCTTGTCCAGGTCTGGGCAACCAGCTGCTCGCCCTCGTCTCCTCCTTCACCTACGCCCTTCTCACCAACCGCACGCTCATCATCAACCCACATGCACAGGCAGCCCTCTTCCTCTGCGACCCCTTCGCATTCACCCCCACCCCATCCACCTGGATGCCCATGGACTCACCCACCTTCGCGTGAGTGTTGGGTGCTGAGTGCTGCCCCCTTGCGTCTTGAACTGATTCCTCTGCGACCCCTTCGCATTCACCCCCACCCCATCCACCTGGATGCCCATGGACTCACCCACCTTCGCGTGAGTGTTGGGTGCTGATTGCTGTCCCCTTGCGTCTCGAACTGATTCCTCTGCGTCCCCTTCGCGTTCAGCCCCCACCCGCTCGACCTGATGCCTATGAACTCGCGCACATTCGCGTGAGTGTTGGGTGCTGAGAGCGTGAAGAGCCTTTGGTCTCAAACCACTTCCTCTGTGACCACTTCTCGTTCACGCCCACCTTTGCGTGAGTGCTTCTTAGCCATGCACGCTATTCTTTTCTCCTCCATCCCCTCCATGCACGCCCACCTCTCCTCTCTGTTTTCTCTCCCTTCTCCTGTCCTCCCATCCCTCCTCTCTAATCTCGCCGTCGCTCCAGGGCTCAGCGCGATGTGATCACAAAGCAGTCTCCTCCACTCTCTCTCTTCTACTCCCTCCCTTACTCTTCCATCCTTTCCCCCTTCTCTCTCCCTGGGCAAGAGACGGATGGGCAAGAGATGGCGGGGGAAGAGACGGCAGGACAGCAGGCGCAGGGGCAAGAGGCGGAGGGGCAAGAGGTGGGTGGGGAAGAGACGGCAGGACAGCAGCTCCCTCCCTTCTACTCTTCCACTCTACTGCTCTCTCCCTTCTCCTCACTTCTTCACTCTCCCCTCCTATCCCCCTTCTCAATCGCTCCAGGGCGCTGCACGATGTGATCACAAAGCAGCAGTCTCCGAGGTGTGGCACGCCACCATGACTTTCCCCTCCCTCTTTCCTCTGGTTGTCCCATTTGCCTCTCCATCGCTGCAGAGCGCAGCTCGTTGTAATCACGAAGCAGTCTCCAAGGTGTGGCACGCCACGCCACCATGACTTTCCCCTCCCTCTTTCCTCCTGTTTTCTCATTTGCCTCTCCATCGCTGCAGAGCGCAGCGCGATGTGATCACAAAGCAGCAGTCTCCGAGGTGTGGCACGCCACCATACGCTGCAGCCGTGGACACTCTGTGCAGCAGCAGCAGCAGCAGCACTACCAGCAGCAGAACCATGAATAACACAAGCGCTAACCCCACTGAGGAGGGCGAACTCAGTGCAACGCCAGAACTCCCTTGTGCTGCTGCAGCTTCTGCAGCTGCTGCCACTATAATCAACAGCAGCAGCAGCAGCGCTGAAAGGATCGACATGATATACGCGGAGCTCAAATTCTCGTATGCTTCTGCTACCCTCTGCTCGGCTTCTCGCCGCTTCCCATTACCTAGAACCGTCCCTCGTCATTGTTTCACTCACCTCATCCCATTTCCTGAGACGTTCACGTTCTCGTTCCTCCACCCTCCCCATCCCCCCTCCCTCCTCATGGCCCCTCCCCATGCCCCCTCCTGCCCGAAACTCCTGCCCCATGATTCTTGTCCCTTATGCCCTGCTGGTTCTCACATGGTGGATGTGTGTCGGTGCTATGCTGTGCCTACATAATTTGAGTCGACTCAAAAACAGGCCCGACGCCCTTTTCCCACGATTCTCGTCCCTTATTTCCCTTATGCCTCTTCTTTCCCTTGTGGCCCGCTATTTCTCGCATGGTGGATGTGTGTTGGTGCTATGCTGTGCCTGCGTAATTTGAGTCGACTCAAAAACAGGCCCGACAATTCTCCCCCACGATTCTCGTCCCTTATTTCCCTTATGCCCCTTATGTCCCTTGTGCCCCGCTGTTTCTTTCGTGGCGGATGTGTGTGTGTCAGTGCTATGCTGTGCCTGCGTAATTTGAGTCGACTCAAAAACAGGCCCGACAATTCTCCCACACGATTCTCGTCCCTTATTTCCCTTTTGCCCCTTATGTCCCTTGTGCCCCGCTGTTTCTTTCATGGTGGATGTGTGTGTGTTGGTGCTATGCTGTGCCTGCGTATGGGAGCGCATGTGCATGCCTGTGTGTGTCCATGTTTGTGTCTATGTGTGTGCATGTGAGTATGGTTATATGCCTGTGTGTGTGTGTGTGTGTGTGTGTGCGTGTGTGCGTGCGCATGTGTGTGCGTGTGCGTGGGATTGTGTGTGTGTCTGTGTATGTGTGTGTGTGTGTGTGTGTTTATCTGTGTGTGTCCATTTGTATGTGTGGATAAGCATGTGTGTCTCCCTAGTGCATCAGAGGCAGACCTAGCTTTCTTCTGTCCGCACCACCAGAGAAGCACCACCAACACGGCTCCCTCTCCTCGGTTCGAGTCCTCGGTCTGCTAACCGACGCATACCTTCTCCCCGCTCTCTACCACACACCACATTTTCAAGTAAGTGACCTCTCTTGCAGGTGAGTAAACTCGCCTGGTCTCCCGTCTTCTGCCACTCAGCCTTCGAGGTGACTTTTTAGTCGACTCAAAAGTCACCACCTGGTCTCCCTTCTTCTACCACTCAAAGTCTTGTAGGCGCCCCACAAAATGAAGCCTACGAAGTCCTTGCTTTATGCTGTCCTTTCTGTGTGTATACCATCCGCCATGCTGAAAGCTGAACAACCTAGTTTCCATCTTTGTCCCTGTGCCCCCTTTTCCCCAATCTAAACTGGAGCGCCTGTTCCCCGACCATCTGCCACCGATGCATGTGGGGCGCTACCTGCTGCACCGCTCTAGTCAGATTCACTTGTCACTACTTTGTCGTTCTCTCTGTGCTTTGTCTTTCCCCAGGCTGAGTTGGAGCAGCCGGTGCCCGACCGCCTGCCGCTGATGCACGTTGGGTGGGGCGCTACCTGCTGCACGACTATTGTCCTGCTATCATCTCTGTTCCCCTGCCCTTTCAGGCTGAGTTGGAGCAGCTGGTGCCCGACCGCCTGCCTTTGATGCACGTTGGGTGGGGCGCTACCTGCTGCATTAGTGCTGTTTGCTCTCAACCCCCCCCTCACTCTGTCTTCCGAATCCTCTCTTCCCCTCTGCCATTGCAGGCTGAGTTGGAGCTTTTATTCCCCGACCGCCTGCCTTTGATGCATGTGGGGCGCTACCTGCTGCACCCCGCCAACTACCTCTGGGAGGAAATCACCCGCGCCTTCCGAGCCTACCTTGCCCCGCACCAACACAGGGTTGGGATTCAGGTCCGTACCGATGCAGATTCGGGCATCCGCGGGAGACGTCAGGTTTGGTGATGAGGCTTAGAAGCATGCGGGCCCAGGCTCGGTGTTTAGGAGGAACGCAACCTGTTGTTTGAGTTACAAAAGAAAAAACAGATTGAGGTTTAGAAGCACGCAGGCTCAGGCTTTGTGTTTAGCAGGAACGCAACGACTTTCGAGTCGACTCAAAGGTCATCTCCGCCGACTTGGCTTAGTGTTTAGGACGAACGCAGCGCCTGCACAACGTCACTCACTCCTCTTTATACCGCACCCCACCCCACTTATTTTGGATGTGACAAAAGCGGTGTCTCGTTGATGTGATTCTAAGCTCCGCCTCTCTCTCTTCTCCCTCCCCTCCTTCACACAAGCTACAAATCCGTGAGTTTCAGAAGTACGTACCAGCTGCCGACGTGCTCGACAGGGTGGTGGTGGGTTGCCTTCAGAGTGGGATGTCTGAGTCTTTTCCTGTGATTTCCCTTCGCCTTCACTCTTGTCTCAGATCCGTGAGTTTCAGAAGTACGTACCAGCAGACGACGTGCTCGACAAGGTGGTGGATTGCCTGGTGAACGTGACTCAAGTGGTGCCCCCCATTGTGCCACACGAGGACTGGGAGAAGCTGACGAAGCAGGCCGGTCATTCAGTCAGTCAGTCGGTCGGTCGGTCGGTCGGTCGGTCGGTCGGTCGGTCGGTCGGTCGGTCGGTCGGTCGGTCGGTCGGTCGGTCGGTCGGTCGGTCGGTCGGTCGGTCGGTCGGTCGGTCGGTCGGTCGGTCGGTCGGTCGGTCGGTCGGTCGGTCGGTCGGTCGGTCGGTCGGTCGGTCGGTCGGTCGGTCGGTCGGTCGGTCGGTCGGTCGGTCGGTCGGTCGGTCGGTCGGTCGGTCGGTCGGTCGGTCGGTCGGTCGGTCGGTCGGTCGGTCGGTCGGTCGGTCGGTCGGTCGGTCGGTCGGTCGGTCGGTCGGCCGGCCAGTCAGTCAGCCAGTCAGTCAGTCATGCGGCAGTGCAAGGTTGGTGGCAGGCTGATCCGATATGAGCGGAGCCAGCGGGGTAGGAAAGGAAAGGGGTCAGCTGAGCTCTATCCACGTCCCCCCATGTCCATCTTTCCTCCGTATCTCCCCCCCTCCCTTCCCCCCTCCCTGCATACAGCCGCCTCCCAGCAGCCCCTCGCTGCTGAGCCGAATTTTGGGAGAGTGGGATTTGCTTCAGGACCCATCCACATTTCCACATGTCCTTCCCTCTCTCTATATCTCCCCCTGTCCCTTCCCACCTCCCTCCCTGCATTCAGCCGCCTCCTAGCAACCCCTCGTTGCTGAGCCGTGTGCTCGGAGAGTTGAATCTGCTTCAGGCGCTGCGGCTGGGGCAGGGGCATTAGCAGGGGCTGAGGCACGGGGAGGAGGAGGAGCAGGAGAATGGGGAGTATGCGAAAGCAGTGGAGGGCTATGAGAAGGGAGATGTGACGAGATATGATGAGGAGGCACAGGATCAGGGAAACGCCCTTAGCTTCCCTTTGAAACATGAGTCAGGGTGACCCCTGGGATACAGGATCAGGGAAACGAGAGCAGTGGTGGTGGTGGTGGTGGAAGGGCGGAGGCGAGGAGACTAACTGGTGCAGTGGGGAGGAGGAAGGAGGGGAGGAGGAAGGAGGGGAGCATGGGAGTGATTGTGGCGTCACTGCGGGCAGCGTATGGGGAGATGTTGAGGGAGATGCTGAGGGAGATGCTGAGGGAGATGCTGAGGGAGATGTTGAGGGAGATGCTGAGGGAGATGCTGAGGGAGATGAGCATAGAAGGGCGGCTAGCAGGCGGGCAGGAGATCGCTGTCAGCATGTGAGTGTGGTGGTTTTTTTAGAGTTCTAAAGACGCTCGTTGTGTTGTGTGTGAACAAGTGCCTGTGTATGGGGAGATGCAGAGGGAGTTGCTGAGGGAGATGGGCATAGAAGGGCAGGTAGAGGGCGGGCAGGAGATCCCTCAGCATGTGAGTTATCACCTCCTTCCTTTTGAGACGTCTCAAAAGTCCTTCCCACCCCCACTCCCAGTCTGTGTATGCGCGTGTGTGCCTTTGTGTGCACTTGTGTATGCACTTGTTTGCACAGCAGCTGAGGGGGAAGAAGCAGGCCATTAGAATCAACTCATCCCGCATCTGTCACCGCTCCACCCCCATCCCCACCCCACGGTACCCCCTTCTCGCTCCTCTCCTGCAACCATCTCCAGGCTGAGCCACGAGGGAGCACAGCAGCTGAGGGGAGAGGAAGCAGGCAGAGAGGGCGCTAGAGGACGTGGAACGTTCAACTGCGGAACCCCTTTTCTTGCTTCGCTCCCTCTTTGCTCGGCTGAGCCACGATGGAGCACAGCAGCTGAGGGAGAGGAAGCAGGCGGAGAGGGCGCTGAGGGAGATGTGGCTGCTCTCCATGTGGTATGTGCTCTCCATGTGGTATGTGCTCTCCATGTGGTATGTGCTCTCCATGTGGTATGTGCTCTCCATGTGGTATGCGCTCTCCATGTGGTATGTGCTCCCCATGTGGTATGTGTGTGTGTCGCTGCTCTCCATTTGGTATGTGCGGGGTAGGCGGGTGGTAGCTTGTGGTGGTAGCCTGTGGTGGTAGCTTGTAGTGGTAGCTTGTGGTGGTAGCTTGTGGCAGGCGGGTGGTAGGCGGGTGGGGAATTTTATCACCCGCACCACACTCAGTCAAGTCAACACGGGGACTCACCACCACTGCCCTTACCCAGCCCCTTCGTCCCCTCCTGCCTCTCCTGTGCTCCCCTGCCCCTGCTCCCTCTCCTCCCTCTCCTCCCTCTCCTGCCTCTCCCCCTCTCCTCCCTCTCCTCCCTCTCCTGCCTCTCCTCCCTCTCCTCCCTCTCCTCCCTCTCCTCCCTCTCCTCCCTCTCCTCCCTGTCTTGCCTCTCCTGCATCTCCTCCCACTTCTCAGTGACACACTACTAATAACGGACACATCCACATTCGGCTACATAGCAGCAGGCCTGGCAGGCGTTCGCCCCTACTCTCTCAACATCGTTACCCGCTACCACAGCAACTGGCGCAAGAACAACCGAGCCTCCTGCTCCCGGACCTCCCCCGAGCCTTGCTACCTGTCGATATTTGATGCCAAGTCGAGACATATTCAGGTGAGCCTCTTCCTACCTCCAAATCTGTCTCTGAAAACGCGTTTTTTCCGACTTGCTGAGGCTGGTTCTGAGGTTCCATAAAAATTAACTTCAACCTGCTTTCTTCCTTCCCCTCATTCCTTCTATCTCCCTTTCCCCCGATCCTATGTTTCGCCCCTCGTCCCCCCCTCCTGCCCCCCTGCTTCCACAGTATCACAGCAGCCCTCCAGTCACCACACTGGCTGATAGGCTTACTTTCCCCCCCTCATTCCTTCTACCGTCTCCTTTCCCCCTGTCCTATGCTTAGCCCCCCTTCCCCTCCCCACTGCCCCCTTGCTTCCGCAGTGTCCCAGTAGCCCTCCTGTCACCACACTGGCTCATAGGCTTACTCCCCCTCCCCTCCCTTCCCCCCCCCCCTCCTCCCCTCATTCCTTTCCTCACCCCCCTTCCTCTGCTTCGCCCCCCTTCCCCTCCCCACTGCCCCCCTACTTCCGCAGTGTCCCAGTAGCCCTCCAGTCACCACACCTGCAGACAGTCTTCCTTTCTTCCCCTCATTCCTTCTACTGTCTCCCTTTCCCGCCTTCCTTTGCTCCCCCCCTCCCCTGCCTCCCTTGTTTCCGCAGTGTCCCAGCAGCCCTCCAGTTACCGGTACCTCACCTGCAGCTGTCTCCTCCCTCGTTGAATACTGTCCCAATTATGGCATGGGCCTTTCCATTGTGCAAAAACGCACAGAAAGCAGCTTCTATTGAGTTGTACAACTGAATATATTCCATAAGGCTACATAATTACTCTAGACGGGCTTTTGGGTTGGCTTTTGATATGATTGCGGTAATTTTTCCAACTCGGACAGCAATAAATTGTTTTTAATGAATTCAACACAGCATTCTTTCAAGAATATTGAAATGACCCAAACAACTCATACGGTTACAGTACGTCCAAAAGCACAAGATAAGCGCCTAGTGTTGAATCAATCACATTCCATGTGGTAGTTGCAGTGTGCATATTTTCATCAGAGGAGTGCAGGCGCGAGCAGTGCCATCACCCCACAAACGAGGCAGCTTATTATGGATACAAAAGCAGCAGCAGCAGGAGGGGAAGCAGCTTTGGGAGGGGAGGGAGGGGGAGGTGGGGAGGGCGAGGAAGGTGGAAGGGAGTCCAATGAAGGAGAGGGAGTAGTGGAGGCAGGGGGAGAGGGAGAAGAGGGTAGAGATGGTGTTTTGGGCACTGAGGGAGTGGGTGAGATTCTGGGGGAAGCCTGAGGAGCAGCAGTGCTGGGCAAAGCAGGTTCAACAGGAACAGGGGAAGTGGAAGGGACAGGGTTAACAGCAGGGGTGGGGGCAGGAACGGGAGTGTTGACGGGAGGGGTGGTGGTGGCAGCGAGGCAGGCGGGGGGAGTGGGGCGGTTGAGGAGGTCGGTAAATTCGTTGGGGACTGTGCAAGTGTCGGGGACCGAAGAGAAGGTGTCACAGCAGGATGTGGCCTCTGGGTAGACGTTGGTGTTGCCTGCAATGCAGTTGGTCTGAAATGGGGGAGAAATGGGGGCGCAAGGAAAGGGGAATGGGGCGATTCAGTAGGCTGCTGAACGCGTTGGGGACTGTGCATGTGTCGGGGACTGAAGAGAAGGTGTCACAGCAGGACGTGGCCTCGGGGTAGACGTTGGTGTTGCCTGCGATGCAGTTGGTCCGAAAGAGGGGATGGGGAAAAGGGCGCAGAGGGTGGGATGCAGGTAAGGTAAAGAAGAGGAGTGAGAATAGTGGGGCGCGGGCGGTGAAGCAGGCTGCTGAGTTTGTTGTTGACTGGGACGAGTCGGGGACTGAAGAGAAGGTGTCGCAACAAGATTCGGGCCAACTGAATAGCAGGCATGGGGGTAGACGTTGGTGCTGCCTGCTATGCAGTTGGCCTGAAATGGGAAAAAGGGATTGTGATAAGGAAACGGTATTGGGACTTAACGGGCCACCTCAAAGAATGTATGATGCTTGTGCAGGTGAACCTGACTCGGGTCTTTCCCGTCACCAGCCACGACCGAGAATTCTAAACACAATAGAAGATTATAAATTCATTGATGTAGGAAAAAAAAAAACGAAATACATGTGTGCTGGTCACAACTATTTGTTCTGTATAATTGCACATCGCCACTCATGCGTAGGTTTTGTTTTCTTTTATAATTTTGATACGCTCATTTTATGCACATGTTTACGTATATATAATGCCTATAGCAGGACTTACACTGGTGAGCACGATTTGGACCTTGTCGTTGCCCATGACAACCCGCAGAATGCCCCCCACGATTTGAGTCATGAAGGTGCGCGCGTCACGGAAGTACCACGTGAGACCGATTTGGACCGTTTCATTACACATACAGATCGAGACTTACACTGGTGAGCACGATTTGGACCTAGTCGTTGCCCATGACGACTCGCAGAATGCCCCCCACGATTTGAGTCATGAAGGTGCGCGCGTCAGGGAAGTACCACGTGAGACCGATTTGGACCGTTTCATCACATACAGATCGAGACTTACACTGGTGAGCACGATTTGGACCTACTCGTTGCCCATGACGACTCGCAGAATGCCCCCCACGATTTGAGTCATAAAGGTGCGCGCGTCAGGGAAGTACCACGTGAGACCGATTTGGACCGTTTCATCACATACAGATCGAGACTTACACTGGTGAGCACGATTTGGACCTTGTCGTTGCCCATGACGACTCGCAGAATGCCCCCCACGATTTGAGTCATGAAGGTGCGCGCGTCAGGGAAGTACGGCGTGAGATCAAGGGTTGCGCCTTTAGACGTGGAAATGACTGGAATGGGAGGGGAGAAAAGGGTTTAGGGTTTAGGGGGGAAAAAGGTGCACTTCAGACAGATTCATGCAAGGGGAGTGCGCAGACAAGAGCAAACCGACACACACTCACACAGAATATCCTTGCCTTGTCTGTGTGCCCTTTTTCAGAATTTATAGACCCTGGACTTGGACTCAGACTTGGTCCTTGCACATACTCAGGCTCCCCCGTCACACGGCATGTCCTTGCATGTTCCCCGTCACACGGCATGTCCTTGCATGTTCCCCGTCACACGGCATGTCCTTGCATGTTCTCACAGACGGCGTGTGCCCCTTACAAGCGCTTGCCATGCGTTGACCTTGTCAACACAGACATTTTCTAGGCGCCTCAAAAGTTGCCATGTGTTGATCTTGTCAACACACAGACACGAAGGCGCACACCCGCACTCTCACCCACGCGCTCTCACACACTCACACAGGATATCCTTGCATGCTTTGTATCAGACCCACACACTCACACCCACACATTCACACCCACACACTCACACCCACACACTCACACCCACACCCTCACACCCACACACTCACACCCACGCACTCACACCCGCACCCTCACACCCACACACTCGCACCCACACACTCACTCACAACCACACACTCACACCCGCACACTCACTCACACCCACACACTCACACCCGCACACTAAGGCCCACACGCTCACACCCACACTCACACCCACACACTCGCACTCACACACTCACTCACACCCACACACTCACACCCGCACACTAAGAGCCACACGCTCACACCCACACACTCACACCCACACACTCGCACTCACGCACTCACTCACACCCGCACACCCACACACTCACACCCACACACTAAGACCCACACGCTCACACCCACACACTCACACAGGATGTCCTTGCACGCTTCAAAGACGGCCTCCGCCTCTCGGAGGCACACAGCCACCTCCGTCGACCCCACGAACTGATTCACCGCCACGTTGCTCTAGAAGCGTGTATTCACATCAACTCTTGGGGCTCTGACACTACGAGTCACTTACAGAGAATGTCCTTGCAAGCCTCGAAGACGGCCTCCGCCTCTCGCAAGCACACAGCCACCTCGGTTGACCCCACGAACTCGTTGACCGTCACGTAGCTGCCCGCGTAGGGGTCGCACGTGGCTGGATACACTCAGACCCAGACCCGCCCACCCCACCTCTTGCACGCACAACCATGCCCACCCCGCCTTTTACTCACCCACGCTCACAGTCCCACCTACAGAGAATGTCCTTGCACGCTTCAAAGACGGCCTCCGCCTCTCGGAGGCACACAGCCACCTCTGTGGATCCCACGAACTCGTTGACCGTTACGTAATTGCCCGCGTAGGGGTCGCACGTTGCGGCGCATACGAGGTCGTCGAGCAGCTGGCCGCACTGCTGCTGCACCGCCATCGAGTCGCACACCTGATTCGGTGGGGATGAGGAGCGGTGTGGTACGGTTGTAAGTGGTAATAGAAGAGTAAGTGAAGTCGCACACGAGATCTTCAAGCAACTGGCCGCACTGCTGCTGCACCGCCATCGAGTCGCACACCTAGAGGAGGGGAAGGAGGGATGTGGGGAGGAGCACGAGTAACGCGATGGAAGAGCTGACTTTGGAGTCGACTCAAAAGAGATGTGGGGAGGAGCACGCGGTACGCGATGGAAGAGAGGCCAAGGGAGGGAAGACGTGTTTGTTTTTAGAGAATTCTCAAAATTCATACAAGGAGGGATGTAGGGAGAAGCAGGAGGTACGCGCGATGGAAGAGAGGCCAAGGGAGGGAAGAAGTGGTCACGAAACCCCAAACCTCGGTTCAACGCAATTCAACTCAGTCAACGCGTCTAGACCAAGTCAACGCGTTGAATAACCCAGTCAACACTCACCATCGTGTCGCGCGGGATGTCGCCCAGAATCGCCACGGGGATCCGCGAATGCAGTTCAACGGAGTTAACCAAGCCAACACTCACCATCGTGTCGCGCGAGATGTCACCCAGAATCGCCACGGGGATCTGCGACATCACACTCGGGTCCAGCGCCTGAACGATGTCGTACAGATTCGCGCTGGCCAATGAGAGCGCGCTGTTCACGTCTTCGCAGTTGTCGCAGCACGTCATCCCGATATACGCGGGGCATCGCAGCGGCGCGACCGCGGGTGTCGCGGGCGGGTTACCATTCGGGCAGATGGGGAAACCGGTGTTGTTTTCCAACGGCGGCGGATTTTGAGCGAGGACGCGAACAAAGGGCGAAACGGCGACGGTGGTAACCAACAAAAGGACGTAAGATTCCGCTACATGTGAACATACACCTCGTCGCCTGAATACCGGTTCTCTGGCCATAGCAGCTCTAATGATTATAGACAATGATGTGTTGATGCCGAATGGTTCTAAGCGCAATAGATTGGCTACAGGTTCGCCTCTTCAAGACCGTCAAGCTCTGCCAGCACCTATTAAGTGCTCCTAGACTGCGAATGCTTTAAACAACTTACACTGGTGAGGAAAAATTCAGGCGGCTAATGAGGGCGCAGGCTCTAATGGCTATTGAGTCATGGATTGGCGGGCTTCGAAATAATCACCAATCGGTTGCGGAACCGTCAAGGCAGCTAGGTTGGCTGGCGCAGAAGTGGCAGCGTGCCTTCGGCCGCAGATTTAGGTACACTAACTGGTCTCGTGTGATTACGGCTAGGAAATACTGATTGTTCTAGTGAGATACGATGAAGTTGTTCCTAAATCATGCACAGCTAGGCTTCCTCATAGCAGGGGTAATGGAAATAGGAGTGCAAAATTGACACGCGACGCGAATCCTGTGGAGCGAATAAACCTTGTCACCTGACCAGTTCCTGAACGCACCGACTAAAAATGCATGCTGATTGAGGTGCGTTGCAGGGACGAAGCTGGCCTGGTCTGTACCGAACCTCCTGATGTTCTCCCATTCAATCACAGGTTATTGCTGGAGGCGAAGAAGCAACTGGCTGGCCTGGACTGCGTTTGGCAGTGACGTACCTGAACGCGTCGCGCTACTTCGATCACCAGACCTGGAACGAAGCAGTCTTCGTTGCGCGAAATGTGCTTCGGCGGGACCAGACCACGTCTCACTAGCGAATCGCGGACGCACGAAACACATACCAGAGGCACTGCCTGCCAGTTCGGCTCTGGCGTGGAGAAATGTCGGTGGTGTGACACTCTTCTGAATCAATTTTATACACTCAGTCCAGATCTGAGGTGATAAGATTATCCTGCTTGGCCACAGAAATAGATGATTCCATTTCCAGGTTTGGTTGGTATTGCTAATGATTTGCATGGTGGTATCCTTGTGACAACGAACTGTATGAAACAACCTATTTTGTGGCATCCATCCCATCATGTGCCCCTCTCCTCCCCTTTCCTCCCCACTATCCCTACATCACCCATATTTTATGCCGTCCCAGCCCGGTAACTCTACCTACCTCAACTCCTCTACTTCGCCCAGTCTCGTTCCAGGCGTTTTCCTATTTGACTCGCATCACTCTCCCTCCCGACTCAGGTCAACGCCTTCCACCACGGCCCCTCCCTCTCCCACGTCCTCCCCTGCCCCCTCTCCCTCCCCTCCAAGCAGGCCGTTCAGATGGTAGCCTCAAAGACTGCACTCCTCTCCTCCCCTCCCTACCCTCCCTCCCCTCACCCCCCCCATCCCTCCCCCCTCCTCTCCCTCCTCTCCCTCCCTCGCCTCTGCCTCCTCTCCCTCCTCCCCTTCCCTCCCCTCGCCCGCCCCCTCGTCTCCTTGACTGCATCGAAACAGTAAACTCCACCGCGCCGCCCGCCCTCCTTACAGGAACGCCATGAGCGGCGCCTTGGCCGCTAGCAGACGAATGCGGGAGCTGTGCGATTCTCTCCTCCAGGGGCAGGTTCTTCTGGGCGGCGAGGCTTTGGCGGTTTCTGAAGGCTGCTGCATGCACGTCGTCTCTCGCTTCGTAGAGCCTGAGAGTGGGAAGAGGGCGGATGAGAGTGTGCATTTGAGGGGGTGCGGGGGGTTGGAGAGGGGTGGGGTGAGGGAGTGAGAGCGGAAGGAGTGGAGAAACGAGTTGTGTGCTAGCAAAGTGTTTCATCCAGGAAAGGAAACCATCTCAAGTTCTGAACTAGTGTGGAGCTTGGAGCTCAGTAATTTCCTCTCAAATGCTTGGAGCTTGCAACCGTCTCAAATGCTTTACCTTGGCTCCTTGGCCCCTCTCTTCCGTGACACACCCTCCTCCTTTCCTCCCTGCACCAACCTCCTCTTCCCGCTTCCACCCCTCTCCTCCTCCTCATCCCCCTCCTCCTCTCCCTCATCCTCATCCTCTTCCTCTCCCGCCTCCTCTCCCTCATCCTCATCCTCATCATCCTCCTCCTCTTCCCCTTCCACCATTTCGAAATGCTCCTCTAGAAGCTCCTTATCCCGCTTTTGCTGCTGCCGCCTCTCCTCCGCTCCTCCCCGCATGCCCCCATGCAGAGCCATGTACTCTTGAGAGTCCTCATCCACTTGGAAAGCCTGTAGAGGAGGAATGGAGGAAAACCAAAAGGCACACAATGACCATGAAACAGGGTAGTACCTTCAACCTCTTTCTCTCCTATGTTCCTCCACCCCATGCCTCCATGCACAGCCATGTACTCTTGAGAATCCTCATCCACTTGGAAAGCCTGTAGAGGAGGAATGGAGGAAAAACCAAAGGCACACAATGACCATGAAACAGGGTAGTACCTTCTACCTCTTTCTCTCCTATGTTCCTCCACCCCATGCCTCCATGCACACGTGATAAAAGTGTAGTTTTGAGACGTCTCAAAACTTTCTCTCCTATGTTCCTCCACCCCATGCCTCCATGCACAGCCATGTACTCTTGAGAGTCCTCATCCACTTGGAACGCCTGCAGGGGAGAAATTGCACCAAGCAAGAGGCACATAGAACAAGCAGTCGTTTGTCAGACCTCCAAGCGAGGATCAGCCAGGGCACTGGCTGCAGCCCTCCTATTGAGTCGACTCAAAAGCCAGGGCACTGGCCGCAGCCCTCCGCTGTTTCTGCACCTTCCCACCCATCTAGACATGAGCAACGGGCGAACATCAAACATGTTCGGTTCGTCGTCCTGCACGAACATGTGAATTGGTCGAACCGAACCGAACATGTTCGGTTCGCCCGAACACTTCTTGGGGATTAGGGTTGTTCGAGGTTCGTGAAGGGGGGGCGAACACTGCATGTTCGGGGCGAACCCGAACATGTTCGAGGTTGGAGAGTGTGCTTTCAGTGGGCCAGCTCCTCCCCCGCCGCCTCCCCCCCCCCCCTCTTTTGAGGCGCCTCAAAAGTGGGCCAGCTCCTCCCCCGCCGCCTCTCCCCCCCCTCTTTCCGAACATCGAACATGTTCGGCCGAACATTTCTTGCCAAAAAAAAACATGTTCTGTTCGGTTTAGTAACGACCATGTTCGGACGAACCGAACAGGCGTTCGGATTTTTGCTCATGTCTACACCCATCCCCTCCCCCTCCCCCTCCTCCTGCTGCTACTCCTCATCCACTCTTACCCCGCCTTGCGCTGCTTCCACGCATTCCCACCCATTCCCACCCATTCCCACCCATACCCACCCATACTACTTCCGCTAATCCTACCGCCCCATCTCAGGCCCATTCGTTTTCCTCACCTGATCAGTGAACAGCGAGGCGAAGCGAGGGTCGGCTAGAGCGCTGGCAGCAGCCTTGCGCTGCTTCCGCGCCTTCCCACCCGCCCCTTCCTCCTCCTCGTCCTCCTCGTCCTCCCCTCCCTCCTCCCTTGCCGCCTCTGCCCCACTCTGTTGCATCAGCTGCGCGGCCAGCTTGGCGTTCACCTTGGGGAGCTTCTTTTGCACCTGCAGGGTTGAGGGAGTGGGGGGGGAAGAACAGAGAGGAAGGGGCAAGCGAAAAGGGAAAGGAAGGGGTTCTGAAACAATACATGGCTCACCCCACTCTGTTGCATCAGCTGCGCGGCCAGCTTAAAATTCACCTTGGGAAGCTTCTTTTGCACCTGCAGGGTTGAGGGAGGGAGGCGGAGGGGACAGAGAAGAAGGAGCAGACGAACTAGGAGTGAAGGGGGTTCTCAGTGGGCAGGCATAAATAAGAGTTACGCGCATGTCACTTGCAGGCAAATCTTTAATATGCGGCTGGTCTGTTGTTGACGCGACTCAAAAACATGCGGAACACATCACACTCACTCACTTACGCCACAGTCGGGCAACTCATTGATATGCTGCTGGCCCTCTGTGCTTCGATCTTCTCCTTCACCTTCTTTGTTCAGGTGCCTCAGGTGCAGACACTCACGCACATGACACCCATGTAAACCGTATGCTTTGTCACATACAAGCACCCCACATACAGGCAACTCACCGAAATGCGACTGGCCCTCTGTGCTTCAATCTTCTCCTTCACCTTCTGCTGCCGATACGCGTCCCACGCGAACGGGTCTGCTATGGACTTCGCCTGTGGGAGTGGAGGGGTAGGGAGGAAACGGAGTGGTGGTGAGAGAGTGCTGGGTGAGGGGAAGGGAAGATGAGTGGGAACGGAAGAAAAAAGCCTTTGGTTTCCCCTTCACCTTCTGCTGCTGATACTTTTGAGGCACCTCAAAAACCCTTCACCTTCTGCTGCTGATACGCGTCCCACGCGAATGGGTCCACTGTGGACTTGGCCTGGGGATGGGGGCCTGGGGATGGGGGCCTGGGGATGGGGGCCTGGGGATGGGGGCCTGGGGATGGGGGCCTGGGGATGGGGGCCTGGGGATGGGGGCCTGGGGATGGGGGCCTGGGGATGGGGGCCTGGGGATGGGGGCCTGGGGATGGGGGCCTGGGGATGGGGGCCTGGGGATGGGGGCCTGGGGATGGGGGCCTGGGGATGGGGGCCTGGGGATGGGGGCCTGGGGATGGGGGCCTGGGGATGGGGGCCTGGGGATGGGGGCCTGGGGATGGGGGGCCTGGGGAGGGGGGCCTGGGGATGGGGGCCTGGGGATGGGGGCCTGGGGATGGGGGCCTGGGGATGGGGGCCTGGGGATGGGGGCCTGGGGATGGGGGCCTGGGGATGGGGGCCTGGGGATGGGGGCCTGGGGATGGGGGCCTGGGGATGGGGGCCTGGGGATGGGGGCCTGGGGATGGGGGCCTGGGGATGGGGGCCTGGGGATGGGGGCCTGGGGATGGGGGCCTGGGGATGGGGGCCTGGGGATGGGGGCCTGGGGATGGGGGCCTGGGGATGGGGGCCTGGGGATGGGGGCCTGGGGATGGGGGCCTGGGGATGGGGGCCTGGGGATGGGGGCCTGGGGATGGGGGCCTGGGGATGGGGGCCTGGGGATGGGGGCCTGGGGATGGGGGCCTGGGGATGGGGGCCTGGGGATGGGGGCCTGGGGATGGGGGCCTGGGGATGGGGGCCTGGGGATGGGGGCCTGGGGATGGGGGCCTGGGGATGGGGGCCTGGGGATGGGGGCCTGGGGATGGGGGCCTGGGGATGGGGGCCTGGGGATGGGGGCCTGGGGATGGGGGCCTGGGGATGGGGGCCTGGGGATGGGGGCCTGGGGATGGGGGCCTGGGGATGGGGGCCTGGGGATGGGGGCCTGGGGATGGGGGCCTGGGGATGGGGGCCTGGGGATGGGGGCCTGGGGATGGGGGCCTGGGGATGGGGGCCTGGGGATGGGGGCCTGGGGATGGGGGCCTGGGGATGGGGGCCTGGGGATGGGGGCCTGGGGATGGGGGCCTGGGGATGGGGGCCTGGGGATGGGGGCCTGGGGATGGGGGCCTGGGGATGGGGGCCTGGGGATGGGGGCCTGGGGATGGGGGCCTGGGGATGGGGGCCTGGGGATGGGGGCCTGGGGATGGGGGCCTGGGGATGGGGGCCTGGGGATGGGGGCCTGGGGATGGGGGCCTGGGGATGGGGGCCTGGGGATGGGGGCCTGGGGATGGGGGCCTGGGGATGGGGGCCTGGGGATGGGGGCCTGGGGATGGGGGCCTGGGGATGGGGGCCTGGGGATGGGGGCCTGGGGATGGGGGCCTGGGGATGGGGGCCTGGGGATGGGGGCCTGGGGATGGGGGCCTGGGGATGGGGGCCTGGGGATGGGGGCCTGGGGATGGGGGCCTGGGGATGGGGGAAGGGAAAGGGAAAGGGAGAGTAGTTAATGAAGCAAGAGAGGGAATGCAGCAAGAAATGGGAGGGAGGAAGGGACGGGGAGAGTGGAGTGAGAGAAGGAAGGGAGAAGAAGGAGGGAGAGGAGGGAAGGAGAGGAAGGACGGAGCGAAGGAAGGGAGAGAAGGAAAAGGAGTGAAGGAAGGGAGAGAAGGAAAAGGAGTGAAGGAAGGGAGAGAAGGAAAAGGAGAGAAGGAAGGGAGAGAAGGAAAAGGAGAGAAGGAAGGGAGAGAAGGAAAAGGAGAGAAGGAAGGGAGAGAAGGAAGGGAGAGAAGGAAGGGAGAGAAGGAAGGAAGAGAAGGAAGGGAGAGAAGGAAGAGAGAGAAGGAAGGGAGAGAAGGAAGGGAGAGAAGGAAGGGAGAGAAGGAAGGGAAAAAGGGAAGGGAGAAAAAGGGGATCTGAGGAGAGAAGACAGAGGTCAAGCCTCTTCTACCTCGTGCTACAACCGCAGCACCGTGCTACAACAACACCACACCACACCACACCACACCTCACAGTACCTTGTGGTAGAGCCGCGAGTGCAGGAAGAACCCATGCATGAAGGGCCGCAGCAGGTTAGTCCCTAGAAGCTCTGTGAGCCTCAGTGCGTTCAGTTCCTCCCGTGTCACAAACTTGTAATCATCGTACATTGCCGCTCCACCCTCCTCCAACTCCTCCTGTTGTTCGGACAAGGTTGGTAAGGGGAACGAGGGAGGGAGGAAGGGGAGGTGAGTGTGTGCGAGAGGGGAGAGAGAAGGAGCTTTGTGTGTCTCAGTGCGTGTCGCTCACCTCGACGCCTCTGTTGACTTTTGAGTCGACTCAAAACTCGACGCCTCTGTTGACTTTTGAGTCGACTCAAAACTCGACGCCTCTGTTGACTTTTGAGTCGACTCAAAACTCGACGCCTCTGTTGACTTTTGAGTCGACTCAAAACTCGACGCCTCTGTTGACTTTTGAGTCGACTCAAAACTCGACGCCTCTGTTGACTTTTGAGTCGACTCAAAACTCGACGCCTCTGTTGACTTTTGAGTCGACTCAAAACTCGACGCCTCTGTTGACTTTTGAGTCGACTCAAAACTCGACGCCTCTGTTGACTTTTGAGTCGACTCAAAACTCGACGCCTCTGTTGACTTTTGAGTCGACTCAAAACTCGACGCCTCTGTTGACTTTTGAGTCGACTCAAAACTCGACGCCTCTGTTGACTTTTGAGTCGACTCAAAACTCGACGCCTCTGTTGACTTTTGAGTCGACTCAAAACTCGACGCCTCTGTTGACTTTTGAGTCGACTCAAAACTCGACGCCTCTGTTGACTTTTGAGTCGACTCAAAACTCGACGCCTCTGTTGACTTTTGAGTCGACTCAAAACTCGACGCCTCTGTTGACTTTTGAGTCGACTCAAAACTCGACGCCTCTGTTGACTTTTGAGTCGACTCAAAACTCGACGCCTCTGTTGACTTTTGAGTCGACTCAAAACTCGACGCCTCTGTTGACTTTTGAGTCGACTCAAAACTCGACGCCTCTGTTGACTTTTGAGTCGACTCAAAACTCGACGCCTCTGTTGACTTTTGAGTCGACTCAAAACTCGACGCCTCTGTTGACTTTTGAGTCGACTCAAAACTCGACGCCTCTGTTGACTTTTGAGTCGACTCAAAACTCGACGCCTCTGTTGACTTTTGAGTCGACTCAAAACTCGACGCCTCTGTTGACTTTTGAGTCGACTCAAAACTCGACGCCTCTGTTGACTTTTGAGTCGACTCAAAACTCGACGCCTCTGTTGACTTTTGAGTCGACTCAAAACTCGACGCCTCTGTTGACTTTTGAGTCGACTCAAAACTCGACGCCTCTGTTGACTTTTGAGTCGACTCAAAACTCGACGCCTCTGTTGACTTTTGAGTCGACTCAAAACTCGACGCCTCTGTTGACTTTTGAGTCGACTCAAAACTCGACGCCTCTGTTGACTTTTGAGTCGACTCAAAACTCGACGCCTCTGTTGACTTTTGAGTCGACTCAAAACTCGACGCCTCTGTTGACTTTTGAGTCGACTCAAAACTCGACGCCTCTGTTGACTTTTGAGTCGACTCAAAACTCGACGCCTCTGTTGACTTTTGAGTCGACTCAAAACTCGACGCCTCTGTTGACTTTTGAGTCGACTCAAAACTCGACGCCTCTGTTGACTTTTGAGTCGACTCAAAACTCGACGCCTCTGTTGACTTTTGAGTCGACTCAAAACTCGACGCCTCTGTTGACTTTTGAGTCGACTCAAAACTCGACGCCTCTGTTGACTTTTGAGTCGACTCAAAACTCGACGCCTCTGCTCACCTCCACGCCTCTGCTCACCTCCACGCCTCTGCTCACCTCCACGCCTCTGTTGACTTTTGAGTCGACTCTGCTCACCTCCCGTGTCACGAACTTGTGATCAGAGGCGTCGAGGTGAGCAGTCGAATGTGATCACCGTGATCATCATACATCACTGCACTGCCCCCACATCTTCCAGCTCTTCCAGTTGTTGGTTGTAAGCAGAAACAGGAAACAGAAAGAAAGAGAGGCAGCTTCCACCCTGTTTCCGCTTGCAGCTCGTCCCACGTCACAAACTTGTAATCATCGCACTTCGCTGACCCACCTTGCTCCAACTCCTTATATTGATGGAGCAAGGTTGGAAAATGGAACGCGGGAAAGTACCAAGAGGGAAACAGATGCGCAGTGCGGTGGAGTGCAGGTGGGGCGAGGCCACTGCTGCCATGATCAGCCCATTCTATCCATCACCTGATGGCCCCATAGCTCACCGTGATGCTCTCAAAAAACGAGCACCAGCGCGGTGCGGGGCCCAGGAAAGGGATGAAGTAGGCCCGCAGGCAGGGCGAGTCCATGGCTGCCACGATCAACCCAAAACACTTACTCCACCACCTCTTTTGATGCCATACCCCCATCACTTACCGTAATATTTTCGAGGAACGAGCACCACCGAGGGGCGGGGCCCAGCGACGGGATGAAGTAGGCCTGCAGGCGGGGCGAGTCCATTGCTGCCACGATCAGCCCACACATTCACTCCACCACCTCTTTCAATACCATGCCCCCATCACTCACAGTGATATTTTCCAAGAAGGAGCACCAACGTGGCGCTGGACCGAGAGAGGGGATGAAGTATGCCTGCAGGCGGGGCGAGTCCATGGCTGCCACGATCAGCCCACTGCCGCGCATCACACACACGTCGTTGATTCCTCCCGGTTCGGTTGGCTCCACACTCGTCACGTTGGAGTCCTGAGAGATCGGACGGTGGCAGGAGAAATGAGGAGTGCCACAGAAGCTATGAGCTCACACGATGAGCCCGCTGCCTGCTGTGCATGACACAACACACACGTCGTTGATGTGATGCCGCCGGCTCCGTGGGCTCCCCCACCACACTCCTCACGTTGAGGCCCTTGAGGATTTGGACAGAACGAAGTGTGTCAAGCTGTCGGCGTTTTTGAGACGTCTCAAAAACACCCTCTCTACACTTAGGAGTTGGGAAGAAAGAAGTGTGTCAAGCTGTCGGCCTGCCTGCAAAGCCCACTGCCTCCCATCAAGTAGGAAGGAAAATAGGGGACACAAATAGGAAGGAACCACTTTTGAGACTTCAACTCTTGATGTGCCTAAACAAGTGTGATGGCATGGCATGGCATGGCATACCGTGGTGGGGTTCCAGACCTTGATGATGCGCTTGTCCGTTGAGATGATGTGCTGTGGTGCGACGGCGGCGGGGTTCCAAATACTTTTTTACCCATTGCAACCACACATAGCGTGGCACGGCTTGGGATGGCATGTACTTTTTTACCCATTGCAACCACACATAGCGTGGCACGGCTTGGGATGGCATGTACTTTTTTACCCATTGCAAGCACACATAGTGTGGCACGGCTTGGGATGGCATGGCATGGCGTGGCAGGCGCACACATACCGTACTTTTTTACCCATTGCAAGCACACATAGTGTGGCACGGCTTGGGATGGCATGGCATGGCGTGGCAGGCGCACACATACCGTACTTTTTTACCCATTGCAAGCACACATAGTGTGGCACGGCTTGGGATGGCATGGCATGGCGTGGCAGGCGCACACATACCGTACTTTTTTACCCATTGCAAGCACACATAGTGTGGCACGGCTTGGGATGGCATGGCATGGCGTGGCAGGCGCACACATACCGTACTTTTTTACCCATTGCAAGCACACATAGTGTGGCACGGCTTGGGATGGCATGGCATGGCGTGGCAGGCGCACACATACCGTGGTGGGGTTCCAGACTTTGATGATGCGCTTGTCTGTTGAGATGATGTGCTGTGACGAGCTTTGTTGGTGTGCGACCCATCTAATGGCATGCATACATATCCACGGACGGTATGGCACACATACCGTGGTGGGGGTCCAGATCTTAATGATGCGCTTGTCTGTTGAGATGATGTGCTGTGATGACCCCGCTATGCCTCTGTGCCACTTGATGCTGTGAATGGGACTGCCGTACCTGTGATTGGAGGGAAGGAGGCGAGAGGGCGGGGAGACAAGGGGCACTATAGTGGAATGGTGTGAAAGGTTGATCCTGCTATGCCTCAATGCCACTTGATGCTGTGGATGGGGCTGCTGTACCTGTTGGGAAGAGGGTGGGGCCGGGGAAAGGGGGAAAACGCGGGGGAGGGAGAGGGGGAAGAGGGGACGAACGAGGGGGTTAGACATTTCGCTATGCCTCAATGCCACTTGATGCTGTGGATGGGGCTGCTGTACTGTACCTGTTGGGGCAAGGCGGGGAGAGAATGGAAAGGAAAGGAAAGGGGGAGTAGGGACATCTAGTGAAGGGATGTGGAGCACCTTCTTTTGCACGCACCACCTTTACAAGCACCTCCCTCAATAAGAACCTCCTCAGAAGCACCTCCCCCACAAGCACCTTCCCCTGTGACTCACATGTGGTCCTTGATCCGATAGGGCTTGGAGGAGCGAAGGTCGTACAGCAACACCTGTGGGACGAGACGAAGGTGGGGGGGAGAAGGGAAGAGCCAGGGATGGTCACATGAGCAACCACAAAGAAGCGTATGTCTTTCTAAAAAATTCTGCCAAATCTACTTTTGAGGCGACGCAAAAAAACGGGTTTGGATGGAGTCGCCTGAAAAAGCGACTGAAATAAACGTTTTCACGATGGACTTGAGAAAGAGTTGGAGAGGAGGGAGAGGCGAGGAGGAAGAAGGGGGGGTTAGGAAGGATGAGCGGGGGATTTCCCACATGTGAGAGCAGAAAAATCTGCCCTTGCCAGCCAACCCTTGCCAGCCCTCGCCAACCCACACCCCCTTCCTACCTGCCCTGTGCTCGTGCCGACAGCCAGGTGCATGCCCTCAGTGTCTTCAGACCGAGAAGGCTGAAGACAGCCACTACTGCACCTGTTTATTCGACCCCAAAATCCACTACTGCACCCCAACCCTCACCCCCGCACCCCCATCCTACCTGCCCTGTGCTTGTGCCGACAGCCAAATGCATGCCCTCCGTGTCTTCAAATCGCACTGCTGTCACTTGCTGGAGAAGAGGGGGGTATGAGAAAGAGGGAGGGAGCGGAGAGGCGGGAGTAGAGAGAGGAACGGAGCGTTCAAAGGTGAGTGGAGGAAATGGTGGAGATCTAGCAGCGAAGACCAGGTGCATGCCCTCCGTGGCTTCAAACCGCACTGCCGTCACTTGCTGGAACGGACGGGGGGTATGCGGAAGAGGGAGGGAGGGAGGAGGGAGGCGAGTGAAGAGTTGAAAGGTGAAGAGAGGAAAGCGCGAAGGCTCAACACATTGGAGACTTCTCACTCGCACCTGCTGTGTTTTGAGTCGACTCAAGAGTGTGTTTTGAGTCGACTCAAGATTTTGTTTTGAGTCGACTCAAGACTTCTCACTCGCACCTGCTCGGCATTCCCAGTAGCGCCAACGGCATCAATGCGAGACACGGCGGAGGCCTGGCGGTTGTCAAAGCACTCCAAGGCACCGTCCTCCCCTCCACATGCAACGAGCCCGTGGGAGGGGCTGCGACCGATCACATTCACTGCTGGCGACCGCGACTGCAGCGACTGCTGGAACTGACCCTGCGAAAAGAAAGAAGAGGAGAGAGTTGGTGATTGTGTGGGTGGGTGGGTGGGTGGTTGAGAGGGAAGGGGATGCGAAAAGGGAGGGGGTTGGAGGGGAAGGGAATGGGGAGATTATGCCAATCGGCTAAAGTCACCTCCTGCATTGCACGCACATACCTGCTCCAAGTTGATCCGGTAAATTTCAGGCGAGGAAGCAGCAAGCAGCAGGTCACACGATGCTGGGTCGTACGCCAATCCACGGCCCATCCTGCGGTTGAAACAGCATGAAGAGGAGAGGGAACAGAAGGGAGGAAAGAGCACACCGGCAGGAGGGGGGGTGGTGGTGCGCGGTGTGTTGAGGAGGCGACAAGCAGCAGATCACACGATGCTGGGTCGTACGCCAATCCACGGCCCATCCTGCGGTTGCAGGCAGTGGCACAGGGGGAGAGCATGGAGGGGAGCGAGAGCACGTGGGAGGGTAGGTGGTGGTGCGCGGTGTGTTGAGGAGGCGGCAAGCAGCAGGTCACACGACGCTGGGTCGTACGCCAATCCACGGCCCATCCTGATGTGAAACGGGAATGGCGGCGCGGAGAACGTGGAGAAAAAATAGCTCTTGCGGGAGGACAGTGAACATGAGCAAACAAGAACAATGAACAAGGATCGGGACCCGATGATGAGGGTAACTGTGCTTTCAACTACGTATCAAGGTGACACTTTCAACTAAGTGCCAACTAATTTACCTGGGGATGCGTGTCTTGAAGTAAGCTCCAAACTTAGCATGGAAGCACACGGAGCGGTCGGCACACAGAAAGGCAATCTTGCTGTAGTCGTCTGTGAGCACCTGCATCGGCGGTCACACCGTTACGCATAGGGTTACCACATGGATCACATAGGACACTGGAAGTAAGCACCAAATTGAAAGTCCAGGTTCTGCACTTCTGAAACGCTTAAAGTAAAGACCAAACTCTTGGTGAGGATTTTCCGAAATCTCCGGAAAATGGAGAGTGAGTAAGTGAGTGAGTGAGTGGTCGAGTAGAGAGGTACCTGAAAGTCAACAATTTCCGAGTCCAGATTGCGCTCAAACTTGAGGGACAGCTCTGCCAGCTCGTACACCCGCACCTGAGGGGGGTACACGCCTGGGGAAGGGGGGGGGGGGGGAGTGGGGGGAAGAGGAATGAAGGGGAGCGGATGCATGCTTCTTAGGTGCAGTGCCTGGCATCGAACTTGAGGGACAGCTCTGCCAGCTCTTACACCCGCACCTGAGGGGGGTACACGCCTGGGGAAGGGGAGGGGAAAGGGGGGCAGAGAGTGAAGCGCACTGAAGGCTGAAGCGCACCTCATGCAAGGAAGCGTTGTTTGCAAACGCACCTGATAGAGAGAACGTTCAAGAGATTCAGTTGTGACTATTCAAGCTGTTGAGCGCACCTGAAGCGAGGAGGTATTTGAGTCGACTCAGAAATCGATTCTGTTGTAACTATTCAACCGCTCGAGCGCACCTGAAGCGAGGAGGTATTTTCCGTCACGGGACGCCTTGATCCGCGTGGAGGCGACTTTGAACTCGAGGTCCTGAATGAGCTCGATGCGCCGCAGGTAGTCTGGGGAGGCGAGAGAGAGAGAGGCACATACACAGACGACAAAGAGAGGAGAGATGGCGTAGCACGACGCATGGATGAACGTGTGTGCGCATTAAGAATGCCTTGATCCGCATGGAGGCGACTTTGAACTCGAGGTCCTGAATGAGCTCGATGCGCCGCAGGTAGTCCGGGGAAGGGAGAGAGAGAGAGGCACACGCGCGTGCACACGCACACATGACAAAGACGGAAAACACGGTGAGATGAGAACGCATGCTTGCGTGTGCGCACATGACGTGGCTGGCTTATGAGGCGACTCTCTAAAGGACGCCTTGATTCGCGTGGAGGCGACTTTGAACTCAAGCTTCCGAATGAGCTCGATGCGCTGGAGGAAAATTAAACCCGAAACCCGTAACCTTTCGATTTTGAAATTTCCCAGAAGGCACTTTTGCAGATTCTCACCTCTGAGAATTTTAAAAGTAACTCAAGCTCCCGAATGAGATCGATGCGCTGGAGGAAACTGAAACCCTAAACCCGTACCCGTTCAAACTCAAACCCTCGTCCCTTCGAAACCTTGACCCTGATCCTGTACCTTCGACCTTCCTGGGCGCGCGTTTCGACTTGGATCCACTCGTGCACGGCCGTGGCCGTTAGCTGAACCCTAACTTCTTCGTAACCCTAACCCTAATCCGTTCGCAACCGTTACCCTCATACGATCGAAACCCCAACCCTAATCCTGTACCTTCGTCCTTCCTGAGAGCGCGCTTTTTCTTGTCCGAAATCCACTCGGGCACGGCCTTGCCGCCCGACACGTTGTACACCTTCACGCCGTTCAGCGTGCTCACGCGCAGCCCTCCCCCTCCCCCTCCCCCTCCCCCGCCGCTTCCCGCGCCTGGCATGGCGGCTTGCAGACAGACGCCGGAAGGAACCTGGAATCACTAAATAGAACTGAGGATTCCTGAAAACCCTTGAAACGAACCCTGAACGGAATCCAATGTATCGCTCAACTACGACTATAACTGAATGTTGGGGGAATGGAGGACGGAAACTGGCCGAATAGGACGGAAATCCTGAAACTATTCTTCGATGCTTGACGGACGCCTGAAACAAACGCCTGGCAGTGAACCGTCTGAAACGAGCTGAGGGGAAACCTCGATCCAAGTACTGTATACCGCTGGGAGTTGTTGCTTTATACCCTTTAGTATTACTCTGATGTCTTGTGATTGTGACCTTTATACATCGTCTGCATGATAATACAGAACAGGATTTAGTCTCAACATTACAGCTATACAGCTAAAGACCATCATTATTGCAGAGAAATCTAAGATTTAGTGCAGTGTATGAATCTAATTACAAGCTCATAAGGTGCTCATTCACATTCAATCAATTTCACCCTAAACCTTGCACCATACCGTATATGCACAATTGAGGACACTGCATACCGTATATGGTATGCAGAAACAATAAATAAATCATAACCCAACATTTAACAACCACCACTGGTTGCATTGCATACCCATCCATGATGAAGGAGAGAGCAAAACTCCATCCTCCATTTAAGGATTCGCTGAACCACCTTTTGTTACGAGAACCAGAACTGCTCCACCATACCTTCATTTACGCGATCACTGCTGCCGCGCCAACCACAAGAGCCACCACTGACATCAACGAAGCGGCGGAAACAGCCCCAGACTTGGGCGGAGGGGGAGGGGACAAGAGAGTCGCAGGCGTTGGGTTAGGGGAAGCCGGAAGAGTTCCAGCAGTGGGAGCAGGCGCAGGGGAAGCAGGCGCGGGAGCAGCGGGCGCAGGAGCAGCAGGCGCAGGAGCAGTGGCGGTAGTAGGCAGGGGAGTCGTCTGGGGCGCAGCGGCCTTACAGGCGGTGGAGTTGATGGTGCGGTTGATGTAATGCGCGTACTTGACTTTGTCAACAGCGCCGCGGGGACATTTGGGGTCGACGGTGAGGGGGTCGCAGCAGGGGGTGTAGGTTGGCGCGGCTGCGGCTCCCGAGAAGCATGCACCCTGGTGACGCGGAGCAGGGAAAGCGGAATGAGAAGTCACAGTTAAGTACAGACAGAGTCTGAAGGTTTGTGCGGCCGTGGCTCCTGAGAAGCATGCACCCTGGTGATGTGGAGCAGGGAAAGCGGAATGAGAAGTCACGGTTAAGTACAGACAGAGTCTGAAGATTTGTGCGGCCGTGGCTCCCGAGAAGCATGCACCCTGGTGATGTGGAGCAGGGAAAGCGGAATGAGAAGTCACGGTTAAGTACAGACAGAGTCTGAAGGTTTGTGCGGCCGTGGCTCCCGAGAAGCATGCACCCTGGTGATGTGGAGCAGGGAAAGCGGAATGAGAAGTCACGGTTAAGTACAGACAGAGTCTGAAGGTTTGTGCGGCCGTGGCTCCCGAGAAGCATGCACCCTGGTGATGTGGAGCAGGGAAAGCGGAATGAGAAGTCACGGTTAAGTACAGACAGAGTCTGAAGGTTTGTGCGGCCGTGGCTCCCGAGAAGCATGCACCCTGGTGATGTGGAGCAGGGAAAGCGGAATGAGAAGTCACGGTTAAGTACAGACAGAGTCTGAAGGTTTGTGCGGCCGTGGCTCCCGAGAAGCATGCACCCTGGTGATGTGGAGCAGGGAAAGCGGAATGAGAAGTCACGGTTAAGTACAGACAGAGTCTGAAGGTTTGTGCGGCCGTGGCTCCCGAGAAGCATGCACCCTGGTGATGTGGAGCAGGGAAAGCGGAATGAGAAGTCACGGTTAAGTACAGACAGAGTCTGAAGGTTTGTGCGGCCGTGGCTCCCGAGAAGCATGCACCCTGGTGATGTGGAACAGGGAAAGCGGAATGAGAAGTCACGGTGAAGTACTGACAGAGTCTGTAGGTTTGTGCGGCCGCGGCTCCCGAAAAGCATGCACGCTGTGGCAAGAGAAGGGAGTACAGTGAAGAATGAGGGGTTGTTGTATTATGGGAAACTGAACTGGCTAGAGTGAACAAAAAAGGGATTTCGTTACTGCAAGGGACTTTTGAGTCGACTCGAAAGTCACCGATTTAGATACTGCAAGGGATTGGACCATGTTGCAAAGTAAGGCCCGTTGCAATGTTCTGGCATGAACTGCAAACCCTTAACCACTGAATAACCACTTCCATTGCAAACTCATATGGCTGTCAGTCACCGTTACCCACGGCACGCTACATAACACACGACACAAGCAAGCTTGAAGATAAAAGCAGACATGCAGCAAGACAATGAGGAGTAAGCACGCACAGGACATATGGTATTTGCTCGCAGGATCACACCCGCTCCGCTGTGATTAGTGGAGCTCGGATCACGGGAATTCGAAGTGCCTCAAAACAGAGAGTAAGCACTCACAGGAGCGATGTTGATATTGAAACGGAGCGATCCGTATCAACATCGCTCCTGTGAGCTCACAGGGATCACACCACTCCGCCGTCATCAGTGGAGCTCGGATCACGGGAATTTGAAGCGTAGTACGCCGCATAGACCATCCCATCAGGCTATGCAGTGAGGCGGCTCAAAATAGAGAGTAAGCAAAGCACTCACAGGAGCGATGGTGATATTGAAGGTCTGATATTCAAGAGTCATCAAATAGGCGAAATTCGAGGCGTAGAGAGCCACATAGTCCATCAGGCTTTGAACGTCGGGGTAGAACTGGTATATCAGACCGCCCTGGACTGCAAGGGGAGGGGAGAAGGAAGCAGGGCAAGTGGGAGAAATTGGACGTTTTGAACCAGGGAGCAGGGGACGTTTTGCGACGTCTCATTTCCCGACGCCCATGAAATTGGAAGCGTAGAGAGCCACATAGTCCGTGTGATGCGTGCTGTTCTTTGAGAATTCTCAAAAACCAGCTTTGAACGTCGGGGTAGAACTGGTATATCAGACCGCCCTGGACTGCAAGGGGAGAAGGAAGCAGGGGAAGAAGGAAAGAGTCGTGTTTCAAGTCGACTTAAAACACGTCGAGGATGAGCTGGCTCTTCGCTGCAAGAGGAGAAGGATGAAGGGGCGAAGGGAAGTATGGGTAGAATGATACGATCTGAATGGGTACAGGGACGGGGAGGAGAACGGGAAGAATAGAAGGATGCGAATAAGGCAGTGACACTCAAAACACGGTTCAGTGGGTGTTGCAAGATTTGAGAACTTTAAACGGTGTCAGCAGATCTTCGGATATTCTTCCAGTGAGCAGCACTTGCATAGGAGTAGGTTTCAGCAAGACTTGACAGATTTGAACGGTGACTTACTTTCGACGTCATTGCATGCTTCGAAGACGGCATTTGCGAATTCCGGGCAGAGCGTCATGATGATTTCTAAATCCGTCTTCACAATGTAACTTCCTGAATCTGTGAAGCAACAAATCCAAAAACAAGTTGGATCAATTATAATGATATTGCTCTTACTTATTAATTTGTGATGTGGCATTTGGCATCAACATGCCGCGAAAAAATACAAGCATGCATTCATAACAGCACGCTCTCTAAATGCATGTCAATGTGGCCGTGCCAGTACATGCTAAATGCATGCTGATGGCATGCGAATGCATGCCGATATCATTCCAATGCATGTCATAAAGACAAAACGAAGAGGCACTCTTATGGGTTGCCCTGAAACTCTTCATGCATCCGTCTCTCTTTTGGCACTCATCCACCGCTGCCCTTTTTTTTTCCCCAAGTGAGGCACTCTTCTGGGTTGCCCTGAAACTCCTCAAACAAACCACTTAAGTGCCAAAACCCAGAAGAGTGCCTCTCTTGGGTTGGGGGTAAAAAGAAAGGGCAGCGATGGATGAGTGCCAAAAGAGAGAAGCAGCACTCGCCTGGGTTGCACGTGGCGCCGCAGATGATCCGTTCGATCGTGAGCATGGACTTGGGGGGGTACGGCTGAAGGACTTGGCGTGCATTGGCGTGTCATCAGCAGCATGCATTTAGCACTCGCCTGGGTTGCACGTGGCGCCGCAGATGATCCGTTCGATCATGAGCATGCACTGGGGGTATGGCTGAAGCGCATCGCACACCTGGCGGCACGCGGAGGAAAAGGACGAATGGGGGGAAGGGAGGGGGTGTGTGGAGCGAGGATAGGGTGTGAGGAGACTGTGAGGCGGACGGAGAGATGGGGAGGAGGGGGTTGGGCAGGGGAGGCGGGTAAGATGGAAACTGAGGGGAGTTCTGAAGCAGAGAGTCTGGCACAATGCTGCAGCTAGTCCTTTGCCACCCTGAGGCTGCATTGACCGAGTCAACTCTAACATAGGAACCCTTCGATTGTAACACTCTAAGGCTGCACTGACCAAGTCAAAAGCAACTTTGGTTTGGAAACCAAACCTTTGCACTGGCGGAGGTGGGTGTTACGAACAAACTTTTCTAGCATTGGAAAACGTTGGAAACCCTAAGGCTGCATTGCCCTGGGCACTTTTCTGACAGCCAGCCTCTGTAGTGTTCGATTCGATAGAATGCATAACATTTCTGACTGTACCGGCATTAAGATGTACGGTTCCGATTGAACCAAGACCCGTGGATGGGGGACCGCGGCGGAACCCCGCAGCAGCGGAACGCCGCCGCGGGGAAAACGTACCATGGGGCTGAGATGTATTTAAGCGTACCCGCGCGGTGCCGCCAAAGAGATCCCAGGTGTTCATCATTTGACCAAGATCGTCAAGGGTTGACGAGACGAACTGCAGCGCTTGATTCGTGTCCACGCAGTCCGCGCAGCACGACAGCTCCGCCGCCGCAGGGCACCGGTGCGGCGGAACGACGGGCTTCTTCGGCGCAAGCCCCGTGAGCGCGCAGCGCGGGGCGGCGGCGGCGGCGGCGGCGGCGGGCGCCGCATGCGCGGGGACTAGCGCGAGGAGGAGCGTGGCGAAGGCGAGAACTGCGAAGCGCGTTGAGTGGGCCATGGCGAATAAGGTCAGCTGGTCAGGTCGCAGACGCTTACTAGCTGCGGACTGCCAGTTTGGTGGAAGCTCGGAGTTTTAAACTTAATATTGTTCGGCTTTTATATTCAAAATCCAAGGACGTACGGCACACACACCTACTGACGTGGATGAGAAACAAAGGCGTGAGGTTAACGGGAGTACGATAAATGCCTGTGTCACGAACAGAGGCAGCTGTGATAGCAAAGAGTACCCATGGGACTTCCCAGGGCCGTTCCGCCAACGCCGGTCCCGCCACCGTCGGGGGTGGTTCAGGACTAAGGAGGAGACTAAATTACTTGCGACTAATGACGCTCCTCCCTGTCCTGCCTGAACACCCAGCCAAATCCCACAATTGTGGTAGTCACCCCTCGCGAGAAAATTCGCGACCCGGCGAATTGCAATGCGAAAGTATCTGGCAGAGGGCGGTTTTCTGCTATCGGTCCTCATTGATCCAGACACACGTGAGTAACAGAGAAACTCGCGGAACAAATTCGCGCCGGCGACATTTGGTTCGCCTACACGATCGCACGTGCACGAATTAGGCCATCGCGAGGGATAGGAAATTTCGCCAGCAGCACGATGAAACCCGACCCCTTACTAGCATTTTCGGCTGCACATTACTGAGCCTACCTTACTCAAAAGGTACAGAAATTATCTCGTGCATATGGTCGTCCCTATCTTGCTACCAAGATTTTACACTTAATGATTCCAAGACGTAGGCAAGCAGTTTCGAAGACCTAGTCAACCCTTTTGAGAGTTTAGGGTTTAGGGCTTAATTGAAAGCCCCTGCACCATCCACCGTATGCCTAAATGATGGCAGCTTGGAAGTGGTAAAATAACTTTTGTGTTGATAATTGATAAGCCTACCTTATGGCACCCAGATGGCACCCAACAACCATCAACCCATCCGTGCCACTGAACCAGACAATCCATCCACAAGTGCCACAAGTCCTCCCCGAATCACCTTCGTTACAAGGGCCAACTCTTGTCTACCAACCCCCCATTACACAAACACTGCAGCGCCAACCGCCAGAGCCACCAACGACATCACCGAAGCAGCGGAACCAGCCCCAGCCTTGGGCGGAGGGGGAGGGAATGAGGGGCTCGCAGGCGTGGGGCTAGGCGAGGCAGGCGGACTGGGCGCTCCTGGCACACCTGCAGTGGGTGCAGGCGGAGCAGGAGCCGGCGCACCAGGAGCAATCACTGCGGGAGCAGGCGCACCCGGAGAAATCAGAGAGGGTGCAGGCGCAGCAGCTCCAGGCGCAGGGGGAGCAGGAGCGTCCCGAGGAGGGGACGGGGCAGGGGCAGGCTGGGGAGCATCCGACATGCAGGTGGCAGAATCAATGGTGCGGTTGATGTAGAGGCGCGTACGCGACTTTGTCAACAGCCCCCGGGGGACACTTGGGGTCGACGGCGAGGGGATCGCAGCAGGGGGTGTAGGTTGGCGCGGCTGCGGCTCCCATGAGGCATGGTCGCTGTGGCAAGAAAAAGGGGTACAGTAGATCATTCGGGATTGGAGTATGGAAAACTGCGGCTGCCTGTAACCGTTACCCACGATGCGTTACATTACACAAGCAAGCTCGATGTTTACTCAAACGGGTGATGCAGTGAAATGCAGAAATGCAATCAAAAGAAGACATGCAGCAAGACGATAAGGAGTAAGCAGCACTCACGGTACCGATGGCGATGCTGAAGTTCTCAATACCCATGAAATTTGCATAGTAGTTGGTCACATAGACCATGTCGCGTGATTAACACTTAGCTGGCAACTAAGTGTGAATTACACAGCAGCCAAGGTGAGGTGTACTATAGTTTACTGCTTTTTGCATTTTACTTTGTTTGCTCTTTTGGAATGTTACTGTACTATACAGAGTCGAGCTGCTGAGGATTTCGAGGTGGTTGGGGGGGAGGTTGGTGGCGAATTCGATTCCAGCCAGCCTGGGAATTCAATTCGCCATTCACCAGGCTGGAAGGCGGTGCATGCCTAGTGGGCCGAGTGGGACCCAGCTAGCACCTTGAAGCCTACGCGATCAGCTCGGCTGACTCGCGCTTAGGAGTAGAGGTAGCTTGCGGGACAAGGCACCTAGGCAGGAGGGGATGTAGACTGGGGTAGCGCTCAGACTCGTTGCTTTTTGCTTGTATGTTTCTCGTTTACTGCAATTGTGATTTCCTAAACCACGGGGAACTAGCAGTAGAGAGGAGCTGAAGCAAATCGGCGGAGCCCTTGCGAGGGAGTTAAGTCTTGTTTCATACAAGCAAAAAGGGTAGTCAGGATTACGATTGTTGAGAGAAGAGGTGGCAGGATCTACTGCCTGGAGTTGCCCACGGTGATGCACCGTGAGGAATGAGTAATTTCGACCGTGAGCTTCACACTCATCAACTGCGCTCTGGACACCGATTCCCGGCGAGGATGATGGAGGGACGTGATCCGCCGGTCAGGATGCCTGGATTTCGGGCGGGCGAAGGAGGGACGATCTCGCGCGGTAACCAAGGCGGGGATCGGGAGGAAGAACGAGGTGTACACGGAGAACAACAGTCGAGCTCTGCATGCGACTCGCCCGCGGAGAGGAGTGGAGGGCGACCTGTGGGGAGTGGATCTCGCCGAGGAAATCCAGATCTGGGAGGAGACGATCAACATGAAGATCGACGAAGTCAGAAGGGAGGGGAAGATCATCGAGAAGAACGGCGGAGTCAGAGAGGAGAAGAAGATCAACGTGAAGAAAGGCGTAGTCTGAGGGGAGGAGACGATCAATCGGTGGAACGACGAAGTCAGCGAGGCAAGGAAGCATATCACGGATTCTCTGCTGGAGGATACGAAGCCATGGAGGCCGGGAGAGCAGGGCGACCTGCAGGGAGTGGAGAAGGAGGGAACACAAGCTGGGGGACAGGCAGGTCGATGAGTACTACACCCCCCAAAATTGAGGTACCAGACCGCTTCTCGGGGGCACCCGGAGAGGAGCCCACGCTGAAAAACTACCTGATGATGATTGAAGACATTCGCTACTGCTGGGATAGGGAGCGACTGGATCCTATTGAATTTTTCAGAGGCTTGGGGAGGACTCTCAAAGGAGAGGCGTTGACTCATTACCGCGTGGAGAGGCAGGGGCTGCTGATGCGGAGCAACAGAGGAGATATCTTACCGGCAGATATTACGGACCGTTTCTTGGAAAGCCTGCAGGAGCAGTTCCCGGGGCATTCGGCGGACCGGATGGCGGAGTTTCAAGACTTCAGAAGAGCGCCGGCAGAGTCGATGTTGGCCTACTATAACCGTTTACTGGAGCTGGCAGAGGATATGGGCTGCGTGGAGGAGCGCATCCTAGTGACCAAGTTCGTCAACGGACTGGATGGGGACTTGATACGAGACATGAGAAGCCGACTATACTCCTTGGGGGTACGGGCGAAGCTGCGACAGGTGTACCAGGTGGCGAAAGAAGTGGA